CAACTTTTCAATTTACTGTACAGAGGTACACTATTCAATGTTCCAAATGTTCTTATTGGTTTGAAAAGATATTCATTAAATCAAATGTAAGTGGCAAAATTTTTTTTTCATGAAATTCTGAAGAATATTTCTTCCATAAAACATCAATTAAAAATTATATAATGTAAGTCTATGGGAAAACAAGATTCGACTTGGGGAAAATCCGACATAGGGACACTCTTGATGCACCAATTATCTCCGCATCTGGGGGTCTCACTTTTATTTTACCCTAACAGAGAAGAGCACTCACCCGAATTTTCCAGTACTCCAAAAATCAACCTAAGTTTCATTCACTTACTTAAAGCATCCCGCGATACATTTCGTATCAGTCTGCCGAAATTGAAGACTCCCTAGATGCTACAGTTTGAGGTACCTCTTCCAAAAAAATTGATAAAAAAGCTTGACCACCAACCGCCAGTATTTAACCTAGTCTCGATTATATAATTAAAAAAAGAATTCGTCAAAATTCTGCAGCTAGAACAAATAATTCATATGTTATACTAAAAAGAAGCTAAAGGCCTAAAGTAATATTAAAAAAAATTAGACTTAGAAATCAGCTGAACCTAGATTATCAATTCAAAATCTTCAATCACGAAAAAAATGTCCGTCTTAGCCACCAATTTCACACACACCGCAGTTTGAAATTTCTTCAACTGCGGAAAATGATGGGAATCGTCGTCAAATGCAGAAGTATACAGCAGGATATGCAAAGCGTACGCAAGTTTCAGAATTAATTTTGACAAGAAAGACATTCCTGGAAGCCGGTATCATTCGAAGTACTGTAATTTGCATGCTTTCATATGGTCCTCCACATTGACGTCTGCATTCACTCTTGTTACCGGCCGAAAAGAACAATGACTCACTTCTCTTTACCGGATTACCCCGCTGGATAATAAGTGAAACACGTCTGATTCATGCGACTGGGTGGAACCAAATTTTAGTGGAGATCTGAAAAAACTCATACTGCACATACTTGATAAAGTAGAATCCCAAATGCCCATATACTTATGATTAAAGATGAGACAGAACATAAACCTGAATGAACGCTTTAAAATTTCTACGTCATAAGAACAAAAAAATGAAGTGCTTTGGCACCTTCCTCACTGTCAATAGCGACACCAACACTACTAAAAAAAAGAAAATTAGAGATAATACCCACTAGTCTTACAGATCACATAAATTAAGGCAAAAATACAATACAGCACTGCACTGTACGCAATTAAAACGTTGAAGCATATACAAATTTGAATATACAAAATATTGCACTTACCGACGGATTTCGAAGTCGGAGAGGAGGAAGCCACAGGGGTGGACGTAGACTTTCGATCAGCCACTGGCGCAGGAGGGGCTTTTGACTCCCCACTAACTTCGGTAGCATTTCGTTTCAGACTTCCAGTTTTCGAATGATTCGACGTCTCTCCACTTTTACTACCATTCGTACCATTCACCGCGGTTTCTGACTGTAAATTACGAAGAAAATGACACGGCTTTTCCCCCACCATTATGACAAACTCGAAAAGAAGCTAGCACACAAATTTTAGAAAAAGTGTGTGGTAATCAATGAATGGTATTAGCCCAAAAGTAAACCTGTGATGAATGAAACGCACTTGAGACAATTCGAAGTTTAAGATAATTACACTACCTCAAAATGAATGAATTACGCACGTCTTCAGATCTTACACAAGCGGAGTATTCAGAGAAGCATTCTTGATAGCTATGAATATACCCCAGACAACGATACAACTAAAAAACTGATACATAACAGGATGAAGAAGTAAGAGAGCACATCTTGAAAATAAACGCCTAGCGAGTATCGGGAGGAAAACAATTGTGGCAATGAAATAAGATTTATGGTTTTATCTGATCAGAACGGAACTTACTTTCGCCGAAGGTCCTCCTCCACTCCCTTTCTTTGAGGTTTTGCTATCCTCTTTACTATCTTTCGACCTATCTTTGTCCGAATCCTGTTAAAATAGAAAAGCCATCGTCAAGGTCAAGGTTTTCGAAATTTCCCAATGATAAATATCACCTGACGAACATGAGGAGCAGTTCCTTTCTTTGCTCCTTTCGCCGAAGCTTCGTTAATGGCAGTACGACGATGATTTTCAAAATCTTGATTCACAGCCGACGATGAATCTCCCATGGCCCCCTCGCCGTCACTTCTACCTGGTCCCTTTGCGCCTGGCAATGCCTTCAACGATACGGAAAATATGGTATAATTCAACCGCCACAGCAAAAGAATTAGGAAAAACCGTGATTTCTTACTTTAAAATTTTTATTGGCGTTCTGCGGAGTAGTCTTCTGACCAGATCCGAAAGGAATCCACGGCGGACAGCCTTCACTATCTCCAGCCATACTCTGAACTCGGTTCTGAGCCGCCACGCTCTTGGATATTAAAATGACGGATTGGACACGGTGAGAATAAAATTACGCAGACGTTACAGTGTTACTAACCCGCATCAATTCCCACTTGTCCACCAAGTCGGGAACGCGGCCGCCGATGACGGTGATCGAAGTAGGACCCAAGAGGAGATAATTGTTGACAAAGCTGCCAGGGGTTTCCGCTCGAGATTGGTCTTTACCACACAACGCGACGTGTACTTTTGTACCCGGCGGCAAATTCAAACTGTAAAACGAATAAGTTTAAATAAAAGGTTCTTCACCGTCGATGAAACGGGATCTCACTTCAAACCAGGCACGAGCTCAATTTCAACCCCCTTAATACTGGAATAACCGTCGGACAGATTCAGTCTTAACATTCGCGGCGCTGAGTTTGAGTTCTCATTTATTTTCGGCGCGGAAATGTTCCGTATCTTCTGTACTTGAAGCACAACCTCCGTCGTAGTTGCCTAATGAAATCAACGTTTCGTCAATTTGCGCTCATTTCAAAAATGATGCATCACCACCAACCTTATCCGAAGTAGCTTTCTGTTTCAGTAGGTCACTCAGAAAGGGAACTCCGATTGTCTTAATGTCAATCTGCGGGAGGACGAGTTGTCATAATACATAGTTCGGCAATTTTTCAAAGTTTACTCTTACATTCTTAGCAACGGCAATAATCTCATCGACAGAGGGCCCCTTGGCGTCGTCCCGCTTTGAACCAGACCCTGAAGGGGTTAATTCGTCCATGCAAATCTCCAAGCCTTCCTCGCTTAGATACCTGAAAGCGGCAAGGACGCACGTTTCCGCATATTAATCGAACTACGATTAATACATGACTGGCTCGTTAAAATATTTGTAAACTATCCGGGAAAATGATCAATTAGAGCAAAACTGACGGAAAAATGATGCGTCATTCTTGAAAATCGGCCTTACCATCCTCTTGCACGTAGCTTGGCTAAGGTTGCAACCTCAGCTGACGGCATTTCGATCAGTACGACTTTCGAACCCGGGGAACTATGTAATTGAACCCCTTCAAATGAACTGTTGACCAACGATTACATATTGTGCGCGATTCATAATGAAACAATCAAAGCAAGCAGCACGGATGCGGTTTAGTGTCAAAACTCAGAACCAAACTCTCGAGAATTTGAAGATACGGTATCTCCAAACGGACAGAGATCACAGATAACCGAAAGTCCCGCATGAATCTTCTCACAAATTGAGTCAATTGTACACACAAAAAGTAATGCCTCATCACCGTAAATAACTCGAGACAGCAATCAAGCGAAAAATTCAGCTTTGAAAGAGGCAGTAACCGGATGTACTGTAAATCTCTATTACAGGCGGCACATTAAAATCTAGTATACCGGACAGAGAAGAATTTTATATACAGTAATTAAGAGGAGTGCAACGATTTATTTTATTCCATTGTAACAGAAGATTAAAAATTGATGCGTAATAGCTCCTTCAATGTTTACATTTTAAGTTTTGACGATTTTAAATAAATCAAATTTATCATTCAGAGTGTGAATATTGTTTACTATACGGTTGCACGCTAGTTTCCTCCATGTTTTGTTGGTGTAGCTTGTCATTGTTATCCCATCCAAACCTCCAGGGTTACCAATGATTCTGATTTTTCCTGATACAGTATTGTACCAATGTGTGGGATGCATTTGTGGTACAGTATTGCTTTCAATTACCCTTGATCTTTTGTTGAGGTCATGTACAGTACTTCATACTCAACTTTTCAAAGGATATTTTTGATCTCTGGTGGTAGAAATTGGGCAGTGTATCCTATCCTGCCGTACAACAACAGTACCGAAAATTTTTATAACTTTGTAAAATCCTACATCCATATTCTGGGCCAGTTATTGGAGCATCTGTATGAATCTTTGCCATCCCATCCGGTTCTGTTTCACCGCAAGGTATATAGTGACATGCAGGTCAGGTCTCACGACTGATTTGAAGATGATTCAGGGTTTTGATTTTAGGTACCCCACACCGGTACCGAGTCATTCACTTTTACACAACACACCTTCATGAGGTCTTGATTTCCGTTGGCGCATAACGAGTTCAACAACTCATCACATACAATATTGCATAACAATCAGAATGTGTTTTTAGAAAATGACTCACTTCATTTTGTATTTATGCAATACGTATTACCTAGACATAAACCTCATATTTTTGACCATGCATGCCATTCCGGCATGATAAAAAGGAATGTAAAGTAAACTATTTTTTTTTTCTTTTTATATTGAACTGAGGTCCGTAAAAACAGAAAATTTAGTAGATTAAAAAATTAATCTAAAAAACCATGTTTTGCAAAAGGAAAAAATAACCTTAATTGTGGTGCGCATCTATTTCCTTTGTATTTCACTTCTTCCCAACAATCTCCATGCACACCACGTTTAAGCTTATTTTTTCCTTTTTCAAAACATGGTTTTTTTTGTCATCAGTTTCTAAGCTATCCTGAAAGTTTCAGCTTGCTAACTAGTCGAGAAGTGAGCGAAATTTGAGTTGCAAAATTTGATCCGGACAAACAAAAGACAAGAAAACGAGTTAATAAAAACGTGTTAAAAAGCAAAAATTCCGTTTTGGATCATGAATTAGAGTACTGCACGTGAATAAAGACATGTGACTTGAATAATTGTCCATTGGAACATCTAAATTCCCAGAGATATCAAAGTTGAAAACATTTGTTTGCTGAAAAATTGGCAAATTGTCTGTAAATACACCTCGATCATTAAAAATTTCCATTGATTTGATGCAAAATGTTGAACGTGAAGCGTCTATATACGCTAAATCACTCACACGTTGAAAATTGGGGCATCTGTTGTGTGTCAGGCTCCCACTGGATGCACTCTAGCGCGATTATACAGTATGAGCATGCATACTGTATCTACCATTCTGTTGCTTAATCCTTGAGAAAAAAATTAATGTACATCAGTGCCGGCAACAAAAAATATACGGACTTCGGCTTCGTCAGAAATGCTTCCGAAAGGTTTTTTATTCTACGCAACGTCGGTACGAAATTCCCCGCTCTTAATCCTTGAGAAAAAAATTAATGTACATCAGTGCCGGCAACAAAAAATATACGGACTTCGGCTTCGTCAGAAATGCTTCCGAAAGGTTTTTTATTCTACGCAACGTCGGTACGAAATTCCCCGCACTGTTACACAGGATTGTCAACGCTATCCTAACCCCACCGGTGACACTAGAAACCATCCAAACCGAACAGGAATCGCGAGCATTTCAGCACTTTCTCAAGAGTACGCCCAATTATTTAAACTCGTAAGGCTACATCTCGTGAATTGAACATAATCATTCCAAAAGCTTTTGTTCGAAGAATTTAAAGCCCCGTCTAAAGGAGGGAATCTTCGGGATTAACACACTTAGCACATCGGCGCATTTTCACAGCTCTGCCTAACGTTCTGCAGCAAACCGCAAGTCTTCTCGGTGATTTGGTCCACAACTCACTAATTACCCAGAAATTTTAGTGAATCCTCAGGATGAAAATCACTCCGAAAGACAATGCATAACCGGTATGACTAGTCATTCCAAATCAACAAAAGTACTTATTGATTACAGTAACTGACTCAAAAATTAGAACTAAGTTTGGTAACGATTTCGTGTTCAGACAACGCACGACGATTCTAATGCCATGCAACACAAAAAATCAGGTAATCATTTCTAAAGCAAACGGACGATACTCGCAGCAGTGACCCACACAAATCGCACAACTTAATACAACATTCTTCCAGAAAAACAAAATCACATCCAACACCGTCCTCGTGTGGATAAATCATTCGACTGAAGATGCCGGTACAGTTGAACGCATCCCAAGGCAGAGCGTGTATTCACAAAAATTAAAAGTCAGGCACAGAAGTACAGAACAATGCTTAAATATTACCATCTACGATATAAATCTAAATTCTCAAACTAATTGGTATCAACGGTAGTTCAGCTAATAAAACTTTGAAATTTTGACAACCAAACGTAGGGAAGGAGATAAAAATCAAATTATTTCCGAGTCCACCAGCTGAGCGAAACTTCAGAAAACAGCGCTCATTTCAAAATTTTAAACTTTCATGACAAACAAATACTCGGGAAATCAAACGTCTGATCGATTGGAGTTATACAGTATCGGTAATTCTTTGAGCTACAGATGATCAAATTATGCCATAAAAAGCAAAAAGAATGCATTTTTCAGAAAAACTTTTATCCCTATCTACCGCTAAGGATTGCTTTTGTAAAAGTTCCATTTTGTGCTTGACGTCCAACGCTTCCTCTCTCCAAAAGCACTGATTGATTAATTAACGCGCTCTTTTGGACGCGTGCCGTTTTGCGACGGGCTCAATTGCCCAGCCACGCCTAGGAAAAGCCTGCTCAAGGGAACCGCTTAAAGCTAATCTTTCCATTCACGCATGTGTATAAAAAGAAAAAAAGGTATCGCAACCACCGATCAACCTTTTTTTCTTGTGTTCCGAAAAACACAACAGGGATTAAACCCTGCAGACGAATTTCAAAAAATACGGATTCTTCTACAAGGACGGTACAGAAAATGAAGGGAACATTACGCGTCCCTAACAGAAAAATCAATCAAAGATAAAAAGGAACTGGCCGGTATAAAAACTTCCACCTTCCACTGAAAGTGGTATTTCCAGGCAAAATCCATCTTCAGTCTCAGAATCGGTTTTCGTTGATGTCGGTGGGTCTCCAAGGCCCACAGCCGGTTCTAGTCATAAGTCAGCGAACCTAAAATAAATAGAAGGATTTAGAATAAATTCGCAGAGATATTCGTCGCGGAAAATTTTCACAACGTACAGTATTTTAGTCCATACTGCAAGGTGGTGGAACAGAAAATGCCGCAAATAACGGTTCAAGGTCAGATATGATTTTTATGAATTGACAAGAAAGTGCAGTGGCACTAAAGACGTTTTGGAAGGTCTGGGAGTCAGCGCAACAAATAACGCATCAGCGAAAAAAAATCAAATGAAGTACGGTACTTCCAAAAAAATGAAGTGTCATCAATCCCTCTTGAAATAAAAAAATAGAAGTAAGCCCACTGAAAGGGAACCAACTATAAAATTCCTGAACTCAAAATCATCGCAAAAAGTATTGCGGTGGACATTATAGAGCAGTGTTCCAACCCGTGGTACGCGGACCACCGCCGGCACTCAAGAAATTTCCTGTAGCATAAATAAATGCATCAGAAGTAGCAATAAAGTCACTTATCTTCTTCAAAAATTTTGGAAAGGCAATGGAAGTTCAAATTATCAGATTAAAAATGAAATTTCGCTTTTATCCAAACCCTTCAGACAAAGCTTCAAGTGCAGAATAATTTAAAATATTTTGATGTTTTCATTCTGAGAAACCTTCATTCAAGCCCAACCTTTCCAATTTTTTTAAGGCATTTCACTATGGCTTCAATAGTTCTTGACTTTTGCAAAAGAAAATTGGAAACTTTTTAAATACCTGCCATAAACTCTTTCAAGGAATACTTTCTTGAGCCTGCCAAAATTTTACAAAACTTCGACAGTCCGCAGAAAATTTCAGGGGAATTTGCCAGTCCTCAGAAAATTTTACGGAAATTTGCTGATCCGCAGGCCGTCAAAGGTTGGGGAAGACTGATATAGAGCATAATAGAAGAAATATTGTATTTATACAGTACTGTACAATACTTCATATCTTTGCTTAAGCGGCACCACGACCTACTTGAATATTTTCTACACTCTGATGTGATGACGGCAGATTGAATATTCTCACGCTAAATGGACATCATTGCGCAACTTGAACAAGATAAACTTGAACTAAATCCACATAAGCGTCACATTAAACTCAACTAATACAACCCCGACAGAAATTAACTAATACAGGTATACAAATAACCTAACCTTTCTTCGAATTCGCAAATACAGTAATTTCAACATTCATCTAACTCGGCAACAGAGTCATGCCCAACCAAATAAGTCATAATCGACTCTAAATAGTATCCGAATCATAACTGATGAAACCGGGATCTTGATCAATCCAACCCAACCTTCGCATCTTGCATGTGGACAAATGAATATTTCAGCACTCCGTAGGGGAAGCTCCAACAAGGAATTTTCGAAATTTTTTGCATTCGGGATTTTAAGTTGATCATTTTTGAAAACTAAAATCTGATGATCTTCGCGATCAACGCTCAAAATTTATGAGCAAGCAGAAAAATGATACAAATGAAAAATCCAGTCTTAGTCGTCTGGATTTCCATGGAACCTAGAAAAAACACGAGAAAAACAAAAGACAAAAAAAAATCTTTGAGGTGAACAAAAACCCGCGAAATAACGGCACTGTGTAAATAGACAGTATTGTACTTCCGTGGCTCGTTCAGCGTAGGGACTTTAAAAGAAGACATAATCCTAGAGTATCGATTCCATGAAAAAAAATAAAAAACATCAACATAGGAAGCCGTATTCTACAAACAGGTGCATGCATAAGTTGTTAAGAAACCACGAATAAGTATTCCAACAATCAGCAGTAGTATAGCTCACACCAGGGGATGCAAGTGAGTGAAAGCCGGGCGCTGTGCCGGGTGCACCATGCACTTTTTCTCTCTCTGTCTAAAATCACACCAGCGACGACAAATCCCCGCCGCCATCTCCGTCACCACCATCTGTGCGTCCCGCAGACCTGGCCATTGAAAGCCGGGCGCTGTGCCGGGTGCACCATGCACTTTTTCTCTCTCTGTCTAAAATCACACCAGCGACGACAAATCCCCGCCGCCATCTCCGTCACCACCATCTGTGCGTCCCGCAGACCTGGCCAAGGCCTGCTGCTTTTTAAGTTTGCGCACTCTGCGATCCGTGAACTCCCGCTTTGACTTCTCTTTCCGCGGTCGATCAGTGTTAGGTTTCCGCCGCGAAAATTCCTGGCCGGATTCTGAGCCTCCGAATCCCAGAGGCCAGCTAAAACAAAATAATGGTGATGCACCGGAACCAGCAAAGATCGTGAGATGAATGAATCGCAGATTTCATGCTTTCGACGCGTCGATTCCAAATAAAGTAGTGCTACGACTTCCGAACTTCGACGGCGTTAGGAAAAGAAAATTATAGATGAATGAAGCACTCTATGAGTTAAAAAAAAATTCAGATTAGAAAAATTAACAGACATTCCAGGTCAAAAACATTTCAATTTTTCGGTCTCTAGATTTTACGGAGAGCGTAGGGGTGAAATTCTCCAATAAATCGGTGATGAGATGCAATTTTCAGATAAGTTCAGCACGGAGAGTCGAGGAGCATCTCATAATCGAAGGGGCTTTTGATTGACAGTACATGAATATGCAAATATACACGATTACGGGGTAGTTCAAAACGTGCTTCTGGTCGAAGGCTGAACATGCCTCGATCAGCATACAGTATATCCAACATCGACAAGTTTCAGGTATACTACGTCAGAGAGCAACACAAAATAATGATAATGTAAAGCACAGATGTGGAAAAGCTTGAGCCGAAGTTTCTCTCTGAATAGTGTATATATATGTGTTTTTTTATTGCCAATGCACTCGTAATATTTATCTCATGAGTACTTTTCTATTAGAAATTTACGAAGGGCTTTAAATTGCAACAAATACAGTTTCTGACGATTACTTGAATTAAAAGATGGTTCGGATGTTTACTCCGCACATCAAGATCCAGTCATATTGCACCTCAAGTGGCAATGAGGTTATATTTGGTTAAAAAATGATTTCCTTACGTATGTTAAGCCGACACATCAAAGTGAATCGTAGAAACCATGGCTCCAAAAATGTGCTTATAAATAAGCGTGATTTGCATCACACGCCATTATTTTAAGCGCGCCGAAGAAGTTCGGAAGATAAATTGAAGTTACAGTTCAGAATTTGATGCCCGACTGCCGGAGAAAAACGAATTAGTTGAAAAAATTAGTTCGCATTTTCCACGCATGCGCAAGACATCAGACTCAAAGCAGCATTCCACGAAAAAATAAAATCACGACAATCCATAATGTAATAAACAAAATAATTTACGCGCGGAAATAATATCATAGCAGCAAATTTATCAATAATTTGAGAATTCTTTATAGTACGCCGTGGAAAGAATTTCAGAACAAATTAAATTTTTGCGTGAAAATTGACGCTTGCCGATTTGGTTCATATTTTTCAAGCGTAGAAAAACAAGAACTTAAAAGGCAGAGAGAGATTAACTCTGTGTAATGTCATCCCAATTCTCGCAACTCCTCCCCAAGCAGTCGCAGAAAATGAACCCTGTACATCATACATCTTTCAGAAAAACAGTCACACAAAACCAAAGGCGATACATTACCTTCTGGGATCCTCAACGTAATCGGAAGGGATGGTAAAAAAAGAATCTTCGAAATCCGACCTAAATGCGAAATCTTGGAATGTTATGGTTGCGGTCACAGTCGGAACCACAGGTATATCTGAGAAAGAAAGAAAAAATCGTTTGGTGATTAACTCTAAAATTAAAAACCGGAAAGAAGAAAACAAAACTCATCGAAAATTGAACGTCGATAAAGCGAACACAATGTCGCAGGAAATAATCAGACAAAATTATTTTCGGCCTAAATCAAGTACAAATATTTTATTCATAAAAAATTACTTACCGACCCTCACAGGGAAACCCGGAGGAAGCTTGACATTAACAAAATCCCGGAGCTTGGAGAAATATTTGAAAGGCGCGACAACTTCCAAAAGATTCAGCAAGGTCTCAATTGTCAGTGGGAACTCCGAACTCTAAAACAAGCAATGAAAGTAAATAATGCATCAGACATCTTCCCAATAGAAGAAAAAATTTCGGCTCGATTAACATAATAATCCTTGGGAAAATTTCAAAAAACGCGCACTCCAGCAAAAACCTTGAAACCACTAACTTCAACTTCCTTTTGTTCAGAAGAACGCTCCAAAACGTGAATTCAAAAGACAATCTGAGAAGTACCAAGACGAAATTATGAATTTATAAGTTTTCTACAGCAAAACGACGGATTTTAGGGCAAACGTCAATCCCTCCCCTTTTATATGATCCAAAATTTTAGAATCGCCCCCTTATTCCTACTCTTACTCACCATAGCCAAAGTGGCCTTGTATGACTTGGACGACTCTTTGCATACGATCGGGCGACCAACACGCGGTGCCTCAGCCGCCTTCATGTAATCGGCCCAACAGAAACCGGGCGGTGGTGGCGGCGGCAGGGAATCCCTCGCCGGAATATCACAGGATAAATCAAACTCGGGCTGAGGACTGTTTCCGTTGCAGCTTTTCGAAAAAAGCTCCGCTTTCGCCTTGTTCTTTGCGAGGTCTGCTTCCGATAAATGTTCACGACGCTTCTTCGCCATTAACACTAGGCCGTTGACGTCATAAAATTCCGCAGCGTATTTCCCGACTGATTCCTTAAAAAAAAAAAAAAAAAAAAAAAACGCGTTAACCGGCAGCCGGTTATTTAACGTAGGACAGAAGCAGTTTTTTGGAACACGGAATTTTCAGGCAACCAGGGATCGTTATGGATGAAGGCGACACCTGCGTGACGCTCCAAAATATAACCGGTTAATGACAGGTAAAGATAAATTGACCAACTTCCGGTTCATAAATGATTCTGTTAAGAATTGATCCTCGTGAAGTCTCGCAACAATGATTTCACAGTTCGACAGCTATCGATTTCTGAAAACCAATCCTCAGTTGTTCGTCTAGCCCAGGAAGTGGTTAAAAAATTATAGTCAAGAATGGGCATCCACGAAAAACGTCACCCTAAGCAGCCAATTTGAACGAACATTTCTTACACACTAATAAGACACAGGAGCTACTGCAGTACACATACCTTACGATCTTCGCGGAATATCCAGCCAGTCTGCGACTTCGCAAAGACAACATTTTTCGTCGACATTTGCACCATGATAATATCACTGGACATCATCAAGTCAACCTCCTCTTCAATTTCGTCCTCAGTCTCATCCTTGGAAAAAAACAAAAACGTCACGATCCGGCTTTAGCTGATTCAAAATTAAAATAAAAAGATGACCGAAAGCAACTAACTCCACATGGCTCACGACGGACGCGTTGGTAGGCTTTAGAAACGTTATCTAAGATCATGAAAGCTTCGCTCGAATCCAAGTCTCCATTGTAAATAAAGCTGATGTCGCCACGCTCCCAACGCATGTCGTTGAAATCGACTAGTGTCGAGTCCAGTCGCACAGTGGCTCCTTTCTTGTAAATTTTGCAAACATCCGAAGGCAGCAATCGAGAAACCAAAGGAACTAGAGACAACGAAAAATAGATGAGAAGAAAACCTCCAAAAACCTGAGAAAAAATGAATCCGACGCAGTAAATCGGGATTAAACAGAAAACTCGACTAAATAGACATTCTTCAAAAAAAATGCCTTTAAATAAAGCGTTTTATGATTTAGGAAATTACCATCACTCAGCCACACGATTATTTCACGTTTCAGAAGCCGACATTATGAATTGGATACTGTCGTGAACTTAACAGTACCACGATTTGGAAAAAATGTTAAAAGGAAAGTTTGCACTGGTTCAAGTTCAAAAATTTTTTAATCCTCTCAACTGTATTCAAATGTTAGTGAGCCAACATCCCATGCTGGTGAAACTCACTGTTTTCAAATTTGCCACAAACTCAACCTACTGCAAGCTACTGAACTTGCCACTGTCACTTTTTGCTGCATTGCTAACTTGCTGCTGTGATGAGTCAACACAAGTGGAAGTTGCTGCTGCAACAACTCACCACTGTAATAATGACTTGCAGCTATCACAACTAGCTGTGTGAATTGTGGGAAGTTCACTTGTCACTGCATCAACTTGAAATTTAATTTTTAATCTTCGTTATTTGGATTTCATTCTTCAGAAAAAATAAATTCCCACATTCTTGATTCTTCCACCTCTTTACTCTGTTTAAGGATTAAATGGTACACAATTATGTTGTTCAGGAAGGTTTTCAACAAATTTGAAATATCTGGCATAAAAAGACGAGTGCATGAGGAAGAACAGTTTCTTTTGTGAGCTTATGGTGAAACAATCATTTTTAAATTTACCTGTGCTTGGCTTTTCATTTTCATCACATATATGCCACATTAGCTTTACCCATGATCTTTTAATTTTACTTACACTTTCAGGTTAAGCATGGATCTTCTTAAAAGCCAGGGTGGGCATGATAATGGTTACCTGTTATGGCTATATTTATGTGAGAGATAAGGCCTGGGATACTCACATATGGAGGTGTGACAACAGGCAGTGTAAAGGCTGAGCCAAATTAAGTGTAAATTACCATGATTCATCTCGGTGAGCCAGTGAAAATTACATAGCCTCACAATCATGAAAGCAATTTTCAGGCTAAAAATTAAAGAAATTTACTGAAGAAGCCATTGCAATTGGAAGTAAAGCTCCATAATCTATGATAACTTTTTTTCTCCTTTTTAAAATGGAAAACTGTGCTGCTGAATGAAGCATAAAAATTAAGAACCGCCTGAATTATCGAGTACAGCAAGTTGCAACATCAGCGATTTGTAACTGCTGAGAGTTGTGACTGCCGTAAGGGAGTACAGTACTGTCAGTGACATACGCAACATACAATAAATATTTTTATAACCTTTGCACTAGTACAGTTTGCCCAAATAGGAAGCAGGGGCTTATTGGAAGATCTGGAGTACCATTGGAGAGGAGCAATGGACTCATGACTCTAGCTAAAACTCTTGTCTTGTATAGACCTCTTAATCCTGAGATTCCTGACTTAAGTGTTGTGGTGTGACATTGAGACAATGAACACTTGCGTCTGAGTCTGGAGTTCGCCCGCCAGGCTCTTATTACTCTTATCCCAAATACTCCAATTCTGCAGTGAGAAGTGATTGCGGCAAATTTTTATGGCAGTCACTTTAGGCTGCGGTTACTTGTAGCAGAGGCAAGTTACTGTGTAGTAAGTTAAATGCGGCAAGTTCAACTGCAGCAAATTTCACCAGCACCACCACTGTTCATCATAACTTAAAGTTGAAATTTAAAAAAATTCAGTAATTCCAGAAAAGACTTCGATGAAAAATCTCGACAGCTTTCAATGTGACCATGGAGAAAATCAAACCAAAACGTTCACGCGACTCACTCCAAGAATGAAAATCCCATTTGAGCTCGAGGTAAAAGTCAGGCATTTCCCTCAGTGCCCGAACAAGTTCAGGTTTACGTGCGGCAATTTGTTCCTTCGCTTGAAATTTCAAGGCTCTCAAAACAACAGAAACTGTAGACACAAAAAAAACCATTGAAAACGACTGTCCGAAAAACTTATGATGAATAGCGAAACTTACTCAAGTCTCGATCACCATAACTGACACTTTCTGCTAAAGCACTCCAACCTTGTGCATTCTTCAGTTTCGCGGGTGCCTTGTGAGCCAGAAGAAGTTCGACAGCATCTGAACATGAAAAACAAGTCGAATTTGCATACTAGGCAGGCACATTTTCAGCAGACGCGTCAAAGTGCTTGCATAAATACATCAAGGCTGTTCCACTTAACACCTTCTCACAGTATTCAAAAATTGCGATGTAAATAAAGGTCTACAGAAAATTGTAATTTTACTGTACAATAATTTGTTTCTGTCATCTGTTGACCAATTCTGAACTCATTTCCTGACAGCGAACACACATCTACTTAAGCATCACAAATTATTGTGTGTCTCTACGGTGTCCGCGAATGTGTACCACGAAAGGCCCAAATAAAATTCTGTACTAACTTACGAAAAATTCATTCGCATACCTTTCCTTCCAAGGGCAACAGCAAGGTGCAGCGCAGTATTTCCTGAAACGAACGATTTCAATAAAAGGCATCAGAAAATTCAACGCTAATTACACATCTCACTTCATTAGAATAAAAAAAAGAACTCACCATGTTTGTCTTTCTCGGTCAAATCATGCTTCCCGTCAACTAGCAGGCGGGTCAATTTCTTCGTGTCTCCTTCAAAAACAGCTTCATGCACGGGGTACATTCTAACACGGAAGTCGGTTGATCCAGAATGATGACTCCAGACACCACAAGCGGATCAACAACTCCGCATGAGAAGAACATATATAGAAAAAATTTCGAACTGCTCGACACCAGTTTTTATTTTTTTTTTAGTAAGCGCGGAATCAATCGACAATCTGCGGAAAAGTCGAAATCAGAATCAGTTTTCATCGAAATCCCGAGGCCGAGAAATTGGTCAATACTCTTCCATCCTCAAAATTCAGAGCAACCCTTAGAAGTTCATTACAACTGGCGAGACAAAAATGTTCGACTTTCGAAATGTTTTTTTTTTATTTATATTCTGAATGCAACTTGTCCTGCACTGGAGTGGTAATCTTGTATGACAGCAGGTGAAGTCCTCATCCAACTTTTAATGCTCGAATTATGAGTGGAGAAAAAATTATATATTCCCCCGTAAAATTAGGAAATAAAATGTAAACGACGCGTTGTTTTTCGTCCTGATCAATTCATATCACCCTTTATGTCCCTTCTTGGTCTGGGACGCGATTCAGTGCTTCGAAGGACAAACAAAAAATAACCTTACATTCTGGAGGGATCTATGGATCAATGCCGGACACCAGCGGTCATCGCAAGGAAGTCGGGATTTGTCTATCTTTTCTCACGATTTATTGACTCGAATTTCATGAACTTAATGGATCACCGGAAGAAATACAGGAAGAGTCTCTTTTCGGGTCAAGGTCCAGAACACTCGCCCCTATAACAACATTCATTGACATCACATCAATTACCTCACAGCCAAAATTTCACCATTTCGTCATTGGAGATCCCTCAGTGCGGCTTAAGCACACTTTCGATCACATACTATCACAGTTCACGAATACGCAATCCAAAAAGCAAACAATCAGAAAATAAAAATAAAAACGCGCTAACATGAAACATTTTTCAGCAAATCAAATTCCGATCTTAGTTTTCCTTCTATTGTGCGCGCTTTCAAGAAGAACCAGAGAGGATACAATTATTAAGCTTTTATATCCTGAAGGGTCTTCACTTCTCCATTGGCGAGTAGTTTCAAGAAGTGAGCTTTCTTGACAACAACTCGTGCCTGGCGTTCTTGCCTAGTGAGCTTCTTGCGGTTGAATCGCTTTTGCTGGCCAGTAAATTTCTTGTCAGATTTCATGTGACTCGGGTTCTCTCGGATCAGATTATGAGCATTCTTGTACATCCCCTCCATCTGCGGATCAATTAAAGAATAGTTTCACTGTCAAACCTGACGAAAACGGCGCGAACACGGCTTCTATCGATTTGAAAATAGCCAAAGCATAGTGAACCGAAGGATTCAAAAAATAATACTGAAAAAAAAAATTTACAGCAGGACTCACGTCATCAGCAGTGATGCCCTTCTTGATGAACTGCGAAAACTGGCGCTTATACGCGTCCTCGTCGGAAGTGAGCAATAAGCGCATATAATTGGCCACATTTCGCCCGAATATGTGGTCGCGGTGTTTTTCAGCATGAAACTCCATAGACTCTTTATCATAGCCAGGAAATCGGATCATGCTAAAATAAAATAGAATGAATAAAAATTGTATCGAACAGGCAAACAAAATTTGAACAATGTGAACTACGGATTGTCTTTAATGAAAGTAGTACTTCCTGTACACGAGTATTCATGATACCAGTACAATGAATACTTTTCGTTGCTCACTGAGAGTGCCCGAATAAGGAATTTTTCAACTTAATAGTTGTCTCAGGAAATAAAAATGATCAAATCTTACGTCTCAAAAGGTTCGAATGAATTTCCCTTGTCATCCAAAAAAATACATCTAGGCATTATTACTCGATTTCCAAACCCTTTCATCAGATTACCCAAGAGTCAAATTTTATTACGTATAGAAACGACTGATGCAGTTTTTGATCCATCGCTAATTTCAAACAACGAGCGACAAAAAGATATCACATTATTCCCAGTGAAAACGGGAAAACGGGAAACTTAATCCCTCGAATTATTTTTAAAGTAGGGGAAATATTTTTTAATTTGAAAGAATATCGCCTACCTGTGGGGAATCAGAAGTCCTCCATCGACAGCTCCTTTCAGAACACCGAACACTTTGGCGCCGGTCGTGGTTCTCGTTAAACCAACGTCCAAGTGACAGCGGAAAGGACCAGGACCATTCATAACTTCTTCAACATTGTACTCGTCTCCGTCAACCTCCGTTTGCCCAGCGTAGATACCATCAATTCCAAGTTTTTTCAGCAGCTACAAAAACCATTACTAGCACATTAAGAAGCACCAATCTAACTCGGGTACGTTACTGACCGATGACGGTCTGAACATCCTAACTGCACAAACTTGTTAGAATACGTGACTGTTCTTCTAAAAGTAATACCAACAATTTCCAGCACAAAAAAAATTATATTTATGGAATACTCTGCAAAATACATTAAAAAGAACTTGGATAATTCAACACCCAACTAATCTAGCCTCATGGTACAACAAACTGACGCAATTCGACACATGAAAAATCGATGCGTCAAAATTTTCGACGTCGCTGATGCAAGGATGTCATTCTGGGATAATCCTATCGCAGTTCAAAATTTTTGAAAAATAAACGTTGAAAAAGTAACAATCTAATTGAATAATTATCCAACACCCTCAGCAAAATTCAAGTTATACTCGCGGCAATACATTAAAATATACTCGACTGCGATAAATAAATTGACGAAGAAAAAACGGAATGCGTCAGAAAAGCTGTACTGATTCTTAGCAACATCTACAGTACATTCTCGAAATGTGCAACGCGGCATTTCGGGAGATGCTGAACGAGTGATGAAAACTTAAATCGTCCCTGCGTCAACTACTGTAGTCTAATTTAGCGCCCAACTGCCAAGGTTGATCATGCATTACAATTTGCATTAAATTATAAGATTTCAGAAGTTAAAATGAAATCTCGCGTAATATCTTCCTTTCAGGAATCGTAGGTGCTCGAATAGATGTAAATAAAATCGATAAATTTCGGCGAATCGAACGACTCACTCGACGGGCGATCAGGAGACCCGTGCAATAGGACGCAGCGTAGTTTTTCAGACCAACTTTGACACCATACCGCGGAAGCTCGGAACTGTACGCTGAACAAACAATCATGTCTCCATCAATCCTGGCATAAGCTATCTGTAAAAGAAGCATTACCCATTTTCTAACTTTTCGAGACCCAGGAAAAAACGGAAAGCTGCAAGGACCAACGCGAGAATGCAATTGACGCATCATTTAATTTGATAAGGCTTCGTTGAATGTGTCGCTGTGTTTCCCACACGATTGAAGGACTGCTACATTGAAACTTTCAATAAATGACAGGAGCGTCATTCAATTTTCGACCAATCTTTGGAAAGAACCGAAATCCGGAGACTTCGGCATCTATTCACTTTCAAGGACACGCACAGTATTCATGCACAGACGACATCTACGATGGGAGAACGAACTTCCCCGAACCCCCATAATCTTCGCGTTTTATATCATATAAGCGAAAGTAACGCGAAAAACGGTAATACCCGACATGAGAAGTAGTATTGTACTGTAATAATCAACAGGGGAATTTTACCTGCGCTATAACCTTGGTATTCGTCAACCGGACGATCAGCCGATATTTCGGCGTGAGGTACTTGTTTTTGTCTTGGATGACCAGCCGCTTTCTCGCAAAGTAATCAGTCTTTCCTTCGCGGCGTCTCCTATACTTGACTTGATATCGTTTGAAATAGGCCTTATTCTTCAAAACTTTGACGAATCCCTGCAAAATCAACATTCGTCGTAGTCATGAACGGAACTGTATTTCTTCACTTCGCTCACCATTGTTGCAAGAAAGCACCCGGCTTTGAGCACCACTCACAAAAAGAAATTAAAATAAATCGAACCTGTAAGGAAAACAAATAAGGTTGTACACACTTCGTTTGAGGAAAAATCACACTAAAAAGGAACCCGATCCAAATGCTTCCGATATTATTGCAACGCGAACCAACGTCCCTTCTCAACATACATTCAACTGGCTTCCAACAAAAAAGGGAGGATTCCTCGAGGGTCGTCAAAAAGCTGTCAATCCTTCACCTAAGATCTTGAAAATTAGCTCAGCAAATGAAGACCAAATCCCGAACTTCGGTCACGAAAAGCAATCAGAACACCAAGCTAGCTTCCGGGCAAGACTTCACGAACACTTAAACTCAATTTCTCTGCATGAAAACTTGACGCACCAGTTTTAAAGTGCATAGAAGGAAAAACACAAGCGCGACCGAATGATGGAGCCCGACTATAAAAGTACAGAAAACCGAAAAAGACGTCCTTGCAATAAATCACCGAGAGGATGTATATTACTTACGTTCCAGAGGAATTTAAAAATCTCGAAATGTCTATGGAATCTCCTCAGCTACTTCTAATGATTTCCTGGGAACGTACATGGATAATTCGATCATCACATTTTTTTAGCCCGCCCGCGTCGTCAACCAGCTGTTGTCTTCAAGTTGGATTAATAAGAATCGAAGCGGTCACGGGCCAGTAGCATCCACGAAATCATTGACTAGAAAATGATACACGAAGTTCGCCTTTTGACGCTCACGTGCTTTCATGGCTTGTTCGGTACGGGCTGGCAACCCCTGTCCAGGGCTACCAACAGGCTCCTTCAGCATAATGGCTCCAAATAGGGTCGCTGGACACGAGGGAAAAACAAATGGGGGGAAATGAAATTCGCACGCCAGCGAAGAAAACTGATAAAGGTCGGGTAAGATTTTCCACCTACGGTCACACGGACTCTAAATCAAGCACCAGCCAGATAGCGTAGTACAATGGGTATCCAACGGTAAGGATTTTCGAATACACTACTGAACTTGAATTGACACTTCCGTATTCGTCTACTTCCGCCTCAATACCTAACTCATCCGAACGAAAATTTGTAAAAATTCCATTACCTATCATGAAAAATCTCACTATCGAAAAGAAGCCTCGAAGAACGATAGATATTATACTCAGAGTACTTCAAATCAATGATACGTATAAAAATTTCCCCACCAAGATGGTTTCAATTCAGGCAAACAAATTAAATTTTAAGAATTTCCGGAACTCTCGTTGAAACAAGTCTAAGTTTCTAAAAGTCACGACAGGTGTCGCCTCCATCATAAAATTGGCCAACCCTAAATTTTTTTCGTTCCTGCTTCGTGATAAAAATGGAAAGACGAACTTTGAATGTTCGGATAAGCGAAGAAAATTGTATTTCTTGAAGCAGAATCCTGCTAATTCATGAAGTCAAACTCACCAAGCGCGCGGGGATCAAGTCCATTCTTGCTCGTATGCAACAAAGCTTCTTTGAGGAATGCACAAATATAGAAGAAAAGGTTGCGGTGATGGTCCGGAAAAGCAGCAGCTACACGCATACACGCGATGTAGTTCGAAGAGGAATCAAGACACTGCTGGTGAAATCTGTACGGCACAACCGGTTCCGGCAATGACTCCAAGAACAGTAATAAAGCTCCAGCGACTGACGTAACATTGCCCGCTGACGAAACAGAAGGTTCACACAAAGTCAATTAATCAAAAAAATTAACCAAGAGGATCTTTCAAAATTGCATTGTTCATCAATTTAGCATTTAGAAAAGTCTAGAGTGCTGCCCAACTCAGATGTGGCCAAGGGCCCACATTGCAGAGATAGAGTCCTGGTGGGCCAGAAGAGGTACAGTAATAATTTTTGAGATTCCAAATTTTCCTCTTTCCAGTGACAATTTTAAAATTAGGTTCAGTGCTGAACATTGGATCACAGGCGTAGTCTTACATAAATGTTGAAGGGTAGAGATAATACCTTGGATTTCAAAATTCATCTTTCAAGATATAATGTATTTTGAAAATGGCGGCAGCCACCTTGAAAATTATAGGGAAGGGACCATGGGACGGATCAAGAGTTTCTGCGGGCCAGATCCGGCCCACGGGCCGTATGTTGGACAGCACTCAAACAGGAAGACTATCTTTGAATCAGGCAGAATTTGTCTGACATTCCGAAAAGCTGTGTTCTATGTTCAAATTAGAAACAATCGAATTATTACAGTGGGAAAAGAAAATTGAAAGATGTGCCGAGAAAAATGAGATTTTACGTAGAACTGCAGGCGTTCCGGTGTCCAGCGCATCCCGAATGGCACGTATTTCAACATCCAAACCCTGCTTCGCAAAAAACAGTTCGTCCTCGTCTAAACCTTCGTTGTACAGCCGGTCTACCATAAGCCAGATCTCTTTCGGAACCCCGGCGTTGCAAGCGCTGATTTCACTTTCCCTGTCCGCTTCCAATTCAAGCAATTTTCCCGTAGGGACTTCGGAAACAGGCACTTTCAATTGAACTAGCGTGTGTAGCGACAGTCCGAAGCAGGTCCTTTGATAGTCGCCCTGGACTGTGATGAACAAATCTTTTCCGCCTTCCAAATGCAAAACAAGGATGTCGTAGACCTGCTCTTGGCCAGAGTTCAGCCGGGCGACGGTAGTTGGGTCTACTTTCAATCGCAGCTCAATATCTCGTTTTTCCCCTAAACGATACATTAAAATCAGTTCAATTCGCCAGAATTACACGGCGTTCTTCCGGTGAGTGATTGGTCGAAAAAACTTAGTTCGAAATTCAATCTCGCCTAGATATGTCCCAAGAAACTGATAATATGTCGCGCTTTTTCACTTATGACCGAAAATGAATACAAAATTGAAAATAGCAAAAATCTTGAAAACGTTATACCTTTCATTGATTTTGCTAACAGCACAAGTAATTACGAGTGAAGCGAGTTGTTTCTTTTGAATGACTTCAACTTTTCCTCTTCAATTATTGATAGTGATCTTCTAAATTAAATGAAAAACTTCCAAGAAATTCGTTCACAGCAATCGCGAACGTTCTAAAATCCATGTTTACTTGATTTAAACGTAATCCTCTCACATATTTCTTCATTCGCGCGATGTAGGTCGCAGTTCGCGTGTCGGAATCATCACATACAATGAACTTGCGGTATTTCATTGAGCCAGGTCTTTCAAAAATTACTGGTAAATTGCATATCAGACCAACGCCGATTAAATCAAGAAAGGTTTGTCGCATACCTGGCTTCAGAAAATCCGCGTAGGGGTTGATCGACAGCCACGGCTTGCAGAAGTAGGAATCATTCAACTTTTTGATGAATTCAAACTGAACGGGAACCTGGATCGAACAACGCATGAATCAACAGCAACACTCGAAATATAATCCAGCTTTTTTTCCTTTTACCTGGCCAGTATTGGCAATTGTGAGGGTCTTCGATTGAGGCTCGAGAAATTTGACAACATCGTAAATAATTTCCAGTTTGTCCACGGTCACTTGCGGCAAAAATTCGTTCTCCAACTTGTCGAGCTGCTTCATGACTTCTTCATAGATTTTGCGGTAGCGGACAGGGTCAATTACTTTAACGCCAACATTGAACAACGCAGAAACTGGTCGATGATCAGATGATCTCAACGTGGGATGACTTCGGTATTTCGTGTTCTCAATGTGATCGCCTTTCCAAAGAATTCTGTCAGTCCATGCCGGTGCTCTGCCTTTCTCACTTGAATTTCAAAGTATATTGCACATAATCAACCCATACGGTACTCTGATTTCTGAACGCTTTTTCCATTTTGCTTCTTGATCCTAGCTCTTCTGAGTCTCGCAGTTCTGTGATACATAATTGAAAATTTGAAATGATAACTCACTTGTCCCATTCGTCCGAATTGTTTGCGTATTGATAAGTCGGCTTGAAGTCTAAAGGGGCTTCATTAAATCCCATGAAAGATTTCCCGTCTTTCTGTTGCTGTTTTAGTTGATCTTTCGACCAAAGCTCCGACCAATTCCCTGCATCGATCTTCGCCTTCGCGGCATTACTTTCTATGCCGACAATGCGGTAGTTCAAGTCGCCGAACCAAAATATTTGGCTGAGGGAACAAATGTGATGTTCGAGAAGGCGCCAGCAAAAGTAAAGGAATAACAACTCACTCATGATGTTTGATCGTTTTTGGCGGCATGAAATTTGAAAACGATAAACGCGAGCAAATATCATGGAAATCTTGATTCCTACGTTCGCATTCTTCAACATGCGCTGCGAGATGAGAGTTGACGAAGCATAGTGAGGTGCTGTGGATTTCCATTCGAATGCTTACACCGCCTTTATTTCCCTGAGAAAGAGCAAATACTAAATAATTATTCAACTGAAAAAAATGTAATAAACTCACTACACTTTCGTTAAAAAAAAAGAAAAATTGGGCTTCTATATAGAGTGGAGACATTTTTGGGAAAACTTCCAATTCCGTCAATTTCTAATTCAGAAACGTTGAGAAGCTAAATTTAAGTTCAATTAAAATTTTTAAACAAAATGGCAGTAGACTAATCATTTACCCTTTCTAGAAACCGACAATAAATGCGTTTCCTGTAATTTTCTGATCAAAGATAGAATACAATATGCTGATGATATACCATAGTGAATATTTTCAACACTTGATAATGTACTAACTTCGTTTCATCCTCAGAAAAACCATGAAATTCATTTAAAAAGATCTCACCATTTTCCCCATTATCCCAGTGCCAACAACTTCCCCACCAAGCGACGTCACATATGCGTCGTGACGCTCCTGCACAAACACAAACAGTAACATGCCTACAAGCCGAACTTGCTTTTTTTTCCTGTAACGAGCCTTGGGATGTAGACTTGTGATAACTGCACGACTGCAAATAAACGATCAATTAAACAAAGCGCATAGGAATTATGACAGCAAAACTCACGTCCACTCATCTTCCTTTGGTGTGTCATTGAAGAGGAAAGCCTCCTTCGAAAGATCCAGCTCTTGAAAAGCGATTGCATACAAATCTGGTGGTTCAGAATCACAAGCCAGCCACTCCAGCAAGCCAGATGCGGGAGGGCTATTTCCATTCACGTTCCAAGTTCCCACGAATATCCTTGAATTATAAATAAATCAAGATTCTATAATACAGTATATCCTACGTTAGTTCAATGAGTTTGTTGAATGAACGTATCAGATCCGCAATTGACATCCAGCACGTGCCAAACCGAATAAAATCACGGATTAGACCGCATAACATTATCATAATACGATCCTTATTATTTCAATTAAACTTACAATGCTCCAGTTCCATGAGCTTGCAATGCTCAACTAGGCCTGACTGAAGAATGCGTCTTAAATGCGTGACTAATCCAACTCATACCCTAACTATGATCGACCTCAAACGATCGAATATGGATTGAACTGTGGCATACAGTACAGTACTTGGATCAAAGATATCTATATAGAATTGATTGCCTTCAAGCGACATGTCCCATTCATGGATTAACGTTTATCCCTCTCTTTCTCCTTAGAGCATAACATCGACACATGGCACACAATTTGAGAATGAAATGAAGTGTTTCTAATTAATTTTATTTTGCGTGAATACCTGATTTTCTCATTTTAAAAAGAAGTCTCGCGATACATTTCACAATTGGAAAATACAGGACTGACCTCCAAACGTTTCAGTGATCCACAGTACTGTACTTGAAAATAACTGGCTTACCTATGCCAAAAATAAATTAACCTGAACTCTTTCCATGAAGCGTCTGGATAACTTTCCGAATTGGGATTTTAACTAACCTAAAATTATGGATGTCCGTGAAAGCCCCTTCTCGCTGGGCCATTTGATATCGAACAACACTTTCCCGAGCAGCAATCGGGGCTTCACCCATTGCGATCGCACGTCTTCGAACTGCTCCGTCACTATCCAATCCGTCACCCTTGGCTGCGTAAACACACGCGAATGCAAAAGATTTGCTCGCCAATTCGGTTCGAATGCATCATTTCACCGTACCGTCATCGCAAAGATCTATGGCAGCAATGTCGTTGACGGAAACGGCGTCATAGGCTGATGATGAATCCATTTCGGGACACAAAGGCCAATAATCTTGTACCCAGCAGAAGTCGGGAATAGGTCCTTTACGCTTGCTGAATGCTGCACCCGACACGAAATAACGGTGTCAAGACATTAAACGGCTACATGAAATATTCCATAGCAAAGAGACACTCACATGTTATGGCTTTGGTTAATTCAGATAAAAATTGGTCAGTCCGAAGCCCATGTGGAAGCTCCAATAACCATTTCTTCTTGTGAGAAAGCACACATACGAACACATCGGATTCCCCTGGAGAAGCGGCTCTACTAACAGGACGATCTATTGGCATCGAAAAGCAGAACTGACGAACACCTCAGAAACTTAGAAGATGCGGACGAAACATACCTGGGTCACAGTGAAATTCATGGTCGATTGGAATGGCATTTGAAAAACTGACGTCGTTGGAACATGTCACAGGTATGTTCTGCGGACTGAATATGATAAGCGCATGTTCGGATTGTTTCTCAACCAGAGCGATCAAGCGGGGAGACTTTACCCAATCTTGAACAATACCTGCATCAGCCACCTGCAATAATTCATTTGTTTCAAAGTAGAGCAAAAAGATAATACCGCAATTTAAATCGTCCTTACGACAATAGCTTTCTCGCCGGGTCGCAGTTTCCCCTGAATGAGAGCAGTAGGATCCATGACTAACGATTTTACTCGCTGGAAAAAATATTTGATATGACAGGCTGTCGGCTCGTGCTAACTTGATCGTCCCACATCACAAATATACACTAGGTTCAACTCTGAAACGCGGAGGTTAAAAATCCATTTAACACAAGTTTTTCAACTCTCAACAAATAAATCTCGACTAAAATCTACACAGCTATATTTATTTCTTCTGCAGAAATAAAGGTAGTATAATATTACCGATCACACGTGAGGCGTATTTTAGGGCAACAACAGAAAAGAATATCAAAAAGTAATGCATACAAAGCCCTTGACATAGAATTCAAAAGGTGGCGAATACCAGTAAAAAAAATAGATAAATGCTGAGCGCCTGGTATCGAAACCCAAAAGCGTAGTTTTTGCCAATTCGGTATTTCGTGCAACCGTGCAATTCAAACTGATCTCCCTGTTTTTAGAAGAAAAGTACGCGAAGTCAACGACAGGCTCCGATGCACAGTCTTGTCCTAATGACGCAACAGCGGGTGCTAGAAGAGGCGGATTCTCATCTCCCAGCGAGCAATCGCTTAAGATACAGCACGTACTTTGTTGTGCTCGCATTCCGATGTCTGGGGCAATGCCTACGCTTACGCGAAACTTACGCGACATCGTTTGCATTGCCCCCACATGGGAATGCACATACGCTAATTGAGCCGATGCTACAAGAAAAATGAGAAGTTCCAAGCGAAAAATAATTTGAAGTTGAAACACGCATTCTCGGAACAACAACCACACGATACACGAATAACGGAAGAGACAGTTACAACGCGAGACGAAGGACGGAATACCTCGACTTGATGATCCGGAACTGTAGTCTGTTGACCAGACGCCGTTACATCCAGCCTCTTAGAAAGTGCTTACATAAGTTCGAGAGGAAAATCCATCGCGGCAGTTTTTCCAAAGCACCAAGAAATAATCGAAACATTTCGATTCACAATATTCCACTGTCTCAATGCTCACAACATACGTAGCATGTTCGCACACGTTATCAAAACTCATTACTACTTGAGAAGGCGAAAAAATTACTCTATGAAGCGTATGTTAATCCAGCACAGAAAACGACTTCTGAGATTCGACGCGTTGAGCCTCTCACTTTCGCCCCACACCCGGACACATCCACGCGTCAGTTGTGAATGAGTGAAACGCCTGTATCTGGATCATCTTCACGTCTGTGTTGCACAGGATAGGGAGTGCAAAAGCAAATTTCAGATTATAGAGGGGATTTTACTGCAATACAGTGCAAGAAAAGCTGCACTGTTCATTTATTACTTAATAGTCGCATCATGAATTCAGCTGATTAATATGACAAATGTTTATAATAATCACGAATTTAAATATTTTTAAAAATCCAACTTTACTGAATACTGTACAGTAACATAACGATTAGCATGATTGACATTCCTCATGAAAAGGGGTGAGGCCCCTTCTCGCGGGAGCAGAACTGAATGCCGTCAGAACTCCGCACCCCTGCGCCCCCCATCCCTTCACACTCTCTCTCCCTTGGTTGTGCATGAGTGACTTCAAGAATCAGGAATATGCCCTGTATGTGGGAAGTGGTGTAGCAAGTGTGCACACAAACCTTGTTAAACCGCCAATGTCTGTGCAGCAGGATTGATGAGGTACAGTACATGAGGTTGATGAGGTACAGAAAAGGATAAAGGGCTGTACAGCGCAGATCACCAATTTTCTGCAATGAGCTATTGCACAACTGAATCAGTAAACTGAACCAGCATTTTGAATTTTAATTGAAAGACAGTTCAGATACAAAACATGAAGTTTTCTTTGTAATGAGAAACCTTTAGACCTGGCATATAGGAGTTTTCCTGTGACACCACTCAGTGCACTGTAAACTCAAAGCCTCAAGTCAGCCACTAGTGTGCGTAAAGGAGAGAGTGATGAGAATAGGGATTGAGGGAATTGTGGGGTGCAGTGGCGAGGAGTTTTCTCTTGCTGATTGGGTACAATGCGCTTCTGCGATGCAAGTATGTAACCAATAAGCCAGAACTGCGATGCAAATATGTAACCAATAAGCCAGAACCATCCTTAAACAAGGCATATGGTTAGTATTAACATGCACGTGTCCATCCCCACTGGAAGTTACCTGCCTTTGCATAAAGGCTGATTGAAAAAATGATGAAAAGCTCTATTATACCCGCAATTAATTTCTAGAAATATCGAAAGAAGGAGAGTAAAATTTTTAATGAATCCTGATGGTTAAAGAAAATTAGGCAAAGCTCACTCAATACCACTGTTGTGTGCATCAGGTTTTCCCTTCAAGCAATACATGCAGCTGGTATGAAGGTGGCATGGAGAGCAGATGTTTTGAAAAAAAGAATCCTTCATCTGTTTTCATAATCATATATGATCCCTTCCAGCTATCTTACGCCTTGCAAACTTATCGAATATAGTAATTGAAAAACGATTTAGAAGTACAGTTTTCGTTGTCCAACGGTTAGCTCATTTCTATTTGGTTCACTTATCTTTGAACGGAATTATAGATGAGAAAAAGTGCTAGCTTTAAAAATTAATTCGACATGAAAATCAAAATCAAATGAATTAAGCCACATTTTAGCAATAAAAGATCTTGTCCGTGCATTGCAGTATATGTACTGAAAGAATATATTTCTTGCAATGTAGATGAGCACTTGGACTTTCAACCTCAAATAGAAATCATCACGAAGGTAGATGAAACTTCGAAGGTCAATTTTTCCTTACTTTTCAAAGCATCAGATTTATATAATACCCCAAATTTAACGATTTCGTTTGGGATAGCTGCCCTACATCGATGAAAGACTGCACTATACGTCGAGGTAGCTGGTTGATGGTGTAGTTAAGCTGGATCAGTCGTCGATAGATTCATCCACGCCGCTGATGCCGAAACGTCAATACTTAAACTGGGTTTAAATCGAAGCGGGAAAAATCACACGATTTCAAACATACTCGACACTGTATTGTAATTCTTCCGTAGACAAAATTCGTACTACGATCCCGCTTCAAACCAACAGTAGCATGAATTTTGGACAACGAATATCAAAGAAACAGCAGTGAGGAAAATTGGAGCCGCGGCGAATAAAAAATAAGAACCGTAGAATAAATAAAAAGGTGGAGTAAAAACTGGAGAACAACTTTTCACAACATATATCCGATTTGTACGCAGTTAAAAGTTCTATGAAAACAAAAATACCAACACGCAGCAACAACGCCCACATGTGATCAACGAACAAAAATTAAAATGAAATATTCGATTGCAGTATTCGAAACCAGAAAATGTCACAAGATGTCCGGCGGAGATCTGAACCCGCAACAATGTTCATCCGGTGAACCTTCAAATAAAGAACACTTCACACCGCTTCAAAATCCCCCTCAGTGATTTCTGGAACAAAAACTACCTTTTCATCGTCACCACGCACACCACGTCAACAGTTCACATTCGACCCAATTCTTTTTCGCGAAAAAAATGACGGGAGTATTCAAAAATTTGATGTACAAATCGGGAAACTCAGATTAAACGAAAATAACGAAGTGAGGTTGAAGAGCAAAGCACTCCTTGCGTCAATTTTTCTCAGGCTTAGCGCGTATATCCGGCTCCTCCGCTTCCACCACCTGATCCATAGTGGCTCCACTGTCAAGAATAATTCACATTTAAAAGTGTACAAGACACGAACAAAATTTCATACGAATCGCAAAACATCTAAGATTTTCAGATAACTCTTCCCACTCTACATTTAAAAACACGCTCGACCCAAACAATCGATTTGAAAAATCGAGGGTTTTCAATTAAAATTACACACTCGACCCGAAAGTTCTATCAGTACTAAGGTCCTTCTCATTTGTACGTCCGCCCATCATTCAGGCTACACCAGAACAGACAGATCCCGAACCCTATGCTCACAGGAACAATATATTAAAACCCATAACTTACCACTTTTCATCAGTATCAGACTAACCTCACACAAAAATCAGTTTATGGGAAAATAAAATGAGTTACGGGGGCGTAAAATGAGTAACTCGGGAGCTCAACACAGCATGGAAGCAATCATGATGAATTTAATCCACTGTAAATCCACATTTTGAAATCTACTACAATGATTTTTAGTAGACACAAAAAATATGGATTTTTTTTTAATTTCCGTCCCGTTAAGACACTACACGCGGCATGTGGAAAGCCTTCATGAGCAACACGAGGGACGACATAGACGAAAGGGGAAGTCTATCCAAGTGCCAAATTGTATGCAATTACCGCAATATTTTGTGTAACACTATCACGCATTTTAACTTGGATATACTCTACAGTATATCAACAAACAATACCAATCCATGCGACGAAGAAAAAAGCGAATTGGGGAGAGGTAGACAATTTTGGGCTCACCACAGCACAGGAAAATCAAGCTTCAAGATAGGCTCTACTTGATCGTCTTTTTCAGTATGCGGAACTGTCAGCAGGTGTCAGTGCGAACTTTTCTCGACATACGGAAGCAGAACTGATTTCCCTACTTTTGCTACTCCAAAAAAAAAAAAAACGAACCTCAACATAATTAGAGAAATCAAATGGAAGTACGTCAAACCTGCAATTCCTCCCGACTTCGCTTTAAAAATTAAAATTCAGACAGCATCACGATCACCGAGAACTTTCTTCTAGGAACATACAGTATAATAAAAAAAGCCCTCACTTGGACACCGGACCAGGCATTTGCGGCAGCAGGCTGACCAGCCTGTTGAGTTGCCCAAGCAGCTCCGGATCCCGCTCCTGTCGAAGAGGACCACGCTGTTGGGGCCGCAACTGGATTTGAAGCAGCAGCTCCAGCTCCAGCGAAGGTTTGCGCAACCGGAGCTCTGTAGCCTCCAGCTGAAAAACTACTTCCACCGGAACCACCGTAGCTTCCTCCACGACTATATGCTGCTCTCCAAAACATTTATCATAAAACAATGCATTAGAATGACAAATAACAGAAGAATGTCGAACATGGTAAGGAGAACCATTCTAACTGCACTGAGTTTTGGTAACACTCGTTACCTCGCAAAATCTTACCGGATGAGGTTCAAGAAAACCGACTGACATCTAAGCACAATAAAGCTAGATGTTCAATCAACGGGCTCATTCAAACATTTCACAGCGGAATTCAAGCAGAAGACAATTATCATGAATGAATTATCAAAAATTTGAAGCCTTTGTGAAATATCCAATCAAAAACTCCCAAATCATGACCAATGTAATCTGAACAAGCCTGAACAAATCCCCAAAAAAGCGGGCTATGCATTGAAAGTGAGATCAACAAGGTTTTTAAACTCAATCTAATTTCTGAACCAAATAGCTCCAGGAACCAAAATTGATCTAGTTAGCTCCAGAAAAATCAATTTGACGCAAGGTACAACCTAGATAATCTCCCGATTGAAACTGATTTCACTCATTTCAGATTTCAATAACCGAGCTGAACACATCAAACACAGCGCCAGAAAATTTAATACGAATTCATTCAACTGTGAATCCACCTTTTCAAATCTGCGAAACAAAAATTTTCAACAGATCGAACAAAAAGGATAGAACGTCTTGATTTCCGTCCCGTTAAGACACTACATGCGGCAAAAGAAAAGCCTTCATGAGCAACACGAGGGACGACATGAACGATACGAAACGCCATTCGAAAGAATTGCCGAATGGCAGAAACACACCGGAGCTTTGATTCCATGGACGAACGCTGGATGTAGCTCCGTAACCTCTCCCCATTGAACTACCGCCCTGATAACCTGATTGCTGACCACCACGGGAATCTCTTTGGAATGGCGGCTGTCTTCCACCTCCTCCGCCACGATCGTCCTGAAAAAAAAAAGTAGCAACATTCTTAGCGGGAAATAGCCAAAGAATATTAAAAAAAAATAACGACACCCCCAATGATACAAAATTCGCGTTTTGAGCTTTCCACTGGAATGAATGCTTCCCACTTATACAGTTAGTCAAACAACACCCAGTTTAAAAATAAATTTCTCAATAACACAAATTTCTTTCATCAATCGGGAAATCGTCCAGAAGTAAATCCAGTAAAATAATACGATTCTTCAACCTTTTATATACACCGTTCATGGAACATTAAGTGATGCAATCCGAAAGACGTTCGAAAATCTCGGCATTAAAATATTTGAGGTTTCATGCAATTGATTTGAAAGTGGTCAACTAAAACGTGTTACATTTTCATTCCCCCGTCTCTCGATCTCCGAACATCTTTACTAGAATAAACTTCGAAAAAAGTTCGATGGAAAAAGACTAAAAGGGCCAATTAAATTTTTGGACTTGAACATGCATTACGGGAAAAGGACATTCCTTCTGCCCGGACATCTCATCACGAGTACATTAGAATCTTAGGAACCGTTAGCAAATTGAAATCACAAAAAAATTAGGAAGGAAACCCTTACGGGGTTTTGAACATCCGATACAAACTGCCAACAGCAAACTTAAATACAGTACATAAGTCACCAAGTACAGAAAAATGGTTTCGCACGAAACCTATCGATATTACGGTTTAAGTACTGCACATTAATCAAGCATGTCCCATCAAGGTGTTCAAGAACAGTTGAATATTGAACAGATGTGGAAGCAACATTTTGTAACTCTCCCTCTTCAAATCAATCTGACTATACGCAAAAGATTTAGAAAGATGGGAGAGCTGTTGATTTCCGTCCCGGTTGAACACTACACGTGGCATGAAGCGGCCTCCATGAGCAACACGAGGGACGTAATTCATAAGAAATTGAAAATGAACGATAACATTCTTTCGAACGATGGAATAGGAGAAACGTTAAAAAAAAAATTTACCCGTCGGGGATACGGCTGATAACGTCCGTCGTCTCTTCCTCGCGAGTCACGACTACCTCTGAAATCTCGACCACCTGCATATGCGCCACCTCCACGGTTTCCATAACCGCCGCCTCTGTCACCACCACCGCCTTGGCGCCCACCGTCGCGATCGTTCCGCCGGTCACCACCTCCGTAACCTTGTCTCATACCTCCGCTTCGATCTCCTCCCCAAGCTCGGTCACCACCGCCACGCCAACCTCGGTCACCGCCACCACCCGATCTGCCGTTCCAACGATCGCGATTGTAGTTATTCCAACCGCCGCCGCCACCTCCGCGCCCAGCATCGCCACCACGCCAGGATCCTCCACGGCCTTGATATCCTCTGTCGTCACGTCTGCCGTAATCGTTACTACGGCGGTCACGGTCTCTGGAATCTATGAAGAAAACACAAAAACTTCAATTGACGAAATCTTTTTGAGACTTCCTTGTTGCAGAAAGATTATTTCTCCTGGTTATTCATTGCACCTCCGGACTGTTAAATTCACTTGATCACCGAAAGGTGTCGCCTGAATCCTTTCCGGTTATCTGAGTTACAAAGGGATAATTTATATCACACAAAAAAATTAGTTCAGCTTTGCTTGCATGCATACGCTGAATATCAATTACTGTACTGTACAGTATTCGGTCATATGTGCACGTGGATCGTTCAGTATTGTTACTTCTGCAGAGAAAATTTACTGAGTCAAAAAATTCAGAAAAGGCAGCGGAACACAAAGGAATTTCTGCAGCGAATTTCCTGCATTCGCAGAGTTATACAACGAAGTGACTTAATTCGAGACTTGCACCTGATTGGATAACATCTATAGTACAAGGAATGGGGCAAAACAGAAGTGCTGAACATTAAAATTGCCCCGAAACAAAGAAAATAGCCCAGACTTGCCCAGAAACTAGTTCTTACTTTTAGTTAAATGGGATAGAAATAAATAAGATCACAGAATGTATTTACGCTAGTACCGAGCGCCCACGAGTATGACGCGCACCACGGCTTTTCAGCCCCATTTTTTTCTATAATCTTACTAGCATACCCAAGTAAGACGCGCACCCCATCTTTACCGATTCTAAATCTGCAATATTCTAAAAATAAGAAAACCCACGTTTGAACTTTGACATAAATGTATCCAAAATTCAACTAATTTGTAATTAACATAAACAGAATTTTTTCGTTAAACTGTCCAAAATTTCGGATTAGAAACTAGAAGGATCAAAATAAAGGTGAAACATAATTTACCATTACGTCGATCATCACGTCCATCCGAACGAAAACGTTTCGCAGGAGAACCTCCTTGGTTGGACGAAGAACGCCTCGCATTAGCCTCCTTACCCTCCTTGTTATAAGTATCCACGATCTTCTGTGCTTCTTCACGGTCCAGCTCAACGAAAACTATCTCGCCAACATCACTTTCCTTCGGCAGCGTGAAGTTCGCTGCATGTACCGAAGAAAAAACAGCCATTAATCGCACCTATTCCACTCTTGTACCTTCCCCTTAGAGACTCCGGCTCGCGTTTAACGAAAAAAACAGATGCGACACAACCAAGGAGAAAAATAACGCAGGACCCGCCGATGGTCGACACGCATTCAGGCGCCCGGACAAAGTTTTCAAATAATTTTTTTCGGAGCTCCAGCGAGTGGAAGGGGAAGGGGTTGGCCATGTTTCCCGGGAAGCGGAAACTTACCCTTCATATCCATTACGGCTGTATCAGGAACATCCTTCCCTTCCTCCTTTTCAACTTTTTCCTGTCGTTTCTTGTACTCATCATCGGTTGGTACTATGACAATGGCCTTCGTGGCGAATCCCTCAAAACTCTTGAGCTTTCGCCGCCTCGCCGACGGGTATACATTTGTCTATGATGAATCCAAACTGGTATTGGTTCCACTCCCCCCAGTCCGGGTTCGTCGATTATTCCCCACCCGCCCATTTTCTTTATACGTGGCCACGAACAGGCGGTATTGTTTTTTTCTTCTTTTTCTTATGATCATACGATAAACTAATCATAGTAAAAATAGAAGAAAGAAAAACACTGTACCTGATCGATGATATAGTTGCGAAGACGACTTCCCGCAAGGCGCAGCAAGACATTTAAGCACTTCGTGCTCTTTTCTATCAGCACTTCCCAACGACCAGCGTAATTCCTTTTCTTCGCCAATCCCATCACCTAATGATTATGATGTTAAAAGTGACACTGTACTTATTTCAACATTCTACGTACAGAAATCCGATGGTCTCCCCTGTAAGCTGTGAAATCTAGAAAAAAAGTTTCAAGACTCACCTTCATGCGGTCCAACAAGAAGTTCGTGCTCAAGACGTTAAATTTCTTGTCCGGGTGCTCACTGGAATACTTGTTCGCCCACGTTGTTTTCCCACAACTAGGGAGTCCCACCATCATGAGGAGCTAAAATTAACGGTTATGAAAAAGTAAAATAGAGCCAACTCTGCGATTTTTTTAATGAACTGAATTATCGCTATCGGGTTGCATATTACCATGAGCCGAGAAAGAGCAAGCATCGAACGAACAGGTGCAGAATTACGCGAGTACACAAGAAAAACACCAATTACTGTGGATCAATCGTAATATCACAGAAACAATGATACAGTATCAACATTATACGTGCGAATCAATGACGTTTATACAGTATTTTGATAACAATTTCTGCGCTTTCGCTGAACATATATACTCGTTTTTCCAAACATTCCTTTCAAATATGCCATTGATGATCGGAAAAAGTGTTTACCGTTATTGTTCATACTATATCGGTGGATCAAGAGGAAATTCTGCGCAACAAATACAGTACAGTATTTCTAAAATATGGACAACTGCAAAATGGTACTAACCTCACAATCTTCCTTCTTTTCAGGCGGCAGAGGCCCACGGACACGATCTTCAAGCGCAACTTCAGCACACGAGACATGCCCCAGCAATTGCTCAGGATGCTGGAAATACGGTCCATCCGCACGATCTCCAAAATTTACTTCGAACTTGACGTTCTTACTCAACACATGCGGAAACAGTGGCTTTTCGGACAAATCATCTCGATTAATATTGAAGGCAACACCTTGATCGGCACCATCAACGGTGAACGACATCGTGATGGGATTTGCGTCGAGATCAATATAAGCGCCAATAACATTTCCAGCAGAGAAGCTGACACCATAATCGGCGAATGTTCCACAATTTGCAGATTTTCCTGTTCCTCCGTAACCATACGAAAGTGGATCTTCGCCTAATGCGGGAAAAACTCATTTAGTCTAATATAACGTAATAACACGAATAGGACGGGTAGATTCACTTCGGCTTGCACTCGAACTTTTCAAAAAACATCAGTTACTTAGCGATAAGTAACGAGAATGGACTACAGCGGAAACTACTAGGTGTCCTTGTTAGGCATTGACGCTGCCAAGATGTCCAGGAATACAATTGTCATCCCTAATTCCACATCTGCCTGAAGATTAAGGTAGTAGGCAAAAAAAACATGGACTCTTCAATCCATTCACAAGGAACCAAAAAACAGAGGATAGAAAACCCTTGACTTTCCAGGCTCCTTGCGATTGATCGAGCATAAGCACCAAGTGAATCAAACCAAACGTGAATCTTGACTTACCCAGTTGACAATTCGGCGAATCCACGGACCACCCGACCCGCAAGACATGGGGAGCAGGCTCATCTTCAATTCCGGAAATTACCAAATGTTCCAACAACTGAAGAAATTTCAAAAATTGTATAACCGAGAAAACGGAAGGAAACTTGATCCAATATAACAATATTCACTTTAGCTTCGTAGAAAATTTTTCCTTTTGTGAACCCGTAAGTGGCCCGTGCACCAGCCCAAACGTAACCGAAGCCAGGAACTTCATTGAGAGGTGCAGCAAGTGTTAAATTATCTTTGTCTATCGCCAAATGTAGATCTGAGTTATCTGCAAGGAGAACCGGCGTGAGAGTCAATTTGATGTTGGACGCGAAGAATATTAGAAACATACACCAGTCTAGAAGAACTTTTGTTTCATCGAACTCCGGAATCACCAGTGGTATGACGGCTTCTTCCCTGTGAATGAGAGGCAGGTCAACGGCCGAGTACAGGTAAATATCAACGCGCAATACTGCCGTAAAATAAATGGATCATCGACCAAAATTGGACGCGTTTAGTTGAGGTAAAACAAGTATTAATATTGATTTAACAATAAAACCTTTTCCTTCCAAAAGCATCGGTCAACTCCATCAGAACACTGAATTTTAAATATATCTGGAAAGAAGCTTCCATACACCCATCAGTTCAACAAAATGACTCGAGACTTGAGAATGAGAGAACATAGATAACACATCGAAGAAAAACCCTTCAATCTTTCGTCAGAACCTTGGCATTTCCCTTCCTCGAGACACTTCTTCAAAAATGTTACTTCTAATTCACAGTAAAGCTGCGCCACAGAACCGAAACTTATTAAAATTGTCCATCTTTTCCACTTCATTTTTGATCATTACCAGAGTCATGTTTAAAGCTTACGATTTCTGTGAAATGAACAATGCCTCAACGGAAAATTGTCAGCGCTATAGAGCTTTGGCGATGTCAGCTCGTACCTCACTATCGTTCCCATCGCTAAAGCTCAATAGCGCCAAATTTTCATGATGCCTTTAACACCTCACTATTAACACACAGCTACATACCTTTCCGAAATCCTCGATTGGTCCAACTTCTCATCAACAGCAGGCTTCTCCTAAGTTTCCAGTAGAAGTATGGGGAAAAATTAATTATCGCAAGTAAAATGATGCTGAATGAGACCACTAACCTCTTTGATAGAATGTTCTTCAACTTTTGTAGCCTCAGTCAAAGGCGCATCAGTTTCCATTTTCTCCACCTCGGACTTCGCTTCAACATGATCCGCTTCTGTTTTCACAGAAGTGCCTTCAGGGTCGGTTTGGCATACCTGATCAGGTTCTTGTACTTCCTCCTTCGGTTGCTGCGAAAGTTCTGCCTGGACCTCTTCAACAGGAAGAGACTCCTGTTCTTCGGAGGGTTTCTCCTGTTCATGAGCAGTTGTAGGTTTCGGGCCATCACTGAGAAAACTTGGAGCATGGGTTGTGGAAGGTACACTCTCAGACACTTCATCAATGTTTGCACAAGGAACTGCAGGTTCTTCCATGGCTTCCTTGGGCGCGGATGAGGAAGTATCTTCCAACGGAACAGAACCTGGTGCCTCAGGCGATTCAGCTGGAACTGGTGCCTCAGGCGATTTCGCTGGAACTGGTGCTACTGGCGCAACTGTCACGTCTTCTTTGGAGGTGTCTCCCACGGGCTGCAGAATTTCCTGGCTGGTTTCCATTGATTCTGAAGCCGCTTCGTCAACTCCAATAGATTCCATGTCACCGTTGGTGGTTTGTTCTTCGGCTTCATCGCCATTTTCTACAGGAAAAGATAAGAGTAACAACTCTATCCTGTATCTCGCAAAACCGGTTCTGACCCACCTTGAACTTCGGCCTGAATTGCGGTTAGCAACCGGTCAACTAAAATTGCTTTCGTTCCTTGGGTGGGGAGCTTCCGCTGCGACAATTCAGCTCGCAGCTCAACCACCTTCAGCTTCATTAATGTTTCTTCCGTCACTTCACTCATGTTGAATTGTAACCCTATGAGGGTTAGGCTCACTTCGCGGAAAAAAACCTCGCAACGAAGAATGAATGAAGAATTCTCTGGAAAGCACAACAAAATTGGACCTGGACTTTGAACAACCAGACACACATACTAGGATACTTCTCGGGAACAGTTTCTTTACACTTGGAAGGTAACATTTGCCTGGGAACTATCACAAGAGAAGACATGGTGCGAGACATCCACAGTTGCATTTAGGCGCGCTATTCATTTGAGTCAAGATCTTCCGTGATTGTTACCGGCATTCTGATGCCTCAGAAATACTCATTCACACTACAAACGCGCATTTGGTATTTCGAAACATTTTATGCAGTGCATTTTGATGCGCAGCGAAAGACTACATCGGGCATTTCGCGAAGGAAACTTTCCAACGGCACCGATCTATTGAAAACAAAATGGCGCTGTCGTTGTCCACCCTTACGTTCATGCCGGGAAAGAACGCACATCAGACTGCAAAGCTAATTTGTGTTTTGTATGCATGGAAACGCTGATAGAGTATGTTAGCCATAATCATGGCGTAATGTACTCATATTTTCCAGCGGGAATGAGTAATTTCTTCCACAGTCAATGCAGCAGGTAAGTATGAGTGACTTTGCCTGTGCAGCTTCTGTACAGAGGCGTATAACTCAAAGCTATTGATGTTCCCCCAATTCTGCTCTCTTTCGTAATGAAGGTCCAACAGTGCAAGAATCATGACTATCCTAATTTATGGAGTGCAAATTATTAATAATTGGGCATGGTTTCTGGGAGATGTTTCATAAAATGTAAGGTAAAATACTGTACGATAGAAGTACTGTACAGTATTGTCTTCGATGGCACTTTCATCTGATGCTGCTCCCCAAACTCGCGGAATAATGTGTGCGAAAAGGAGTGTAATTTCGTATATATAGATGTCGCTACGACGTCCTCCAGGAGAAAAATTGGGGTATGTTACATTTTAAGCATGAAATTATGAATTATTGTACAGTATTGTTCACAGCAGTGCGCCTCAATCTTTTTGGGCCTGTGGATCAATTGATTTCCATCATTTTTTCCGACTGGCAAATTTTCAGCAACAACAAAAAATTTGCTGCAGACCAGCGAAGTTTTAAAATTGTTGCACACTCTAAAAAGTTTTTCCTGAAATACTTTATGGCAGGCACTTTAAACATTATATGCTTCATTGCAAAAAAAAAAAAATCAAGTTGAGAACCAATGAAGCAGCTATAGTGCAAATGCCTTCAAAAAAGTTGAAATGGTGCGCTTGGAGAAAAATATTTCAGAATTAAAAATTGAAATAATTTATTATTTCATCAGGCAAAAAGTTGTCCGAAGTGTTATTAGGACGAGAGAAGCTAGCACTCGTTTTTCATAAGAGAATTTTCACTGTCTGTCTTGCCAATAAATTTTCAGATGAGCATACTGTAACGTCCCTCATCATTGATACTTTTGATAAATTTATCACGCTTGAGAAAATTTCCCGTGGACCGGCAAACAACTTCTGTAGACCGGCGTAGGTACATCGTTATATACAGTACATACAGCAGTTTATAGTACAGTACTTACAACTTCGTGTTCTCTGATTTGTAAAAAAAAACGACAGAATGTCGTCACATGTTTCTTGTTTGAGAATATTCCATTTCAACTGCCCATATAGCCAATGTACAGTATATAGAAAAGAAGAGCAGGAAAATGTTCATATCCGGCCGCCTTTCGAGCTCGCGTATTATACTGGCTCTGCAGCTGCGCACGGAAAATGGTAACATGACACGGAGAGTTTTCCACAAAAAGCTGACGGCATTCACGTCGTCAGCTTGTCTTCTTTTGTTTCCCCGGTCCACACTTTTCTTCCAATTGTTTGTACTCTTCTCAACCCCCCCCCCCCCTCTTCCCGGCAGGAATCTTATTCCATCAAATGCTCGGCTACGTCATCAGAGACGCGGACGAGTTCTCCATTCCCTTCAGTGCTACGGCGCGGTATGCACGAGTCAGCCATCGACGCTGGCGATGATACATGTGCTGAAATTTCCACATTTTCATAGAAAAGTGTTAAATCTCTTTCACATCATATCCTGCGATGTTTCGAATTTCATAGTGCGTTGTTCAGTTATCTCAGATTTCAAGGAGAGACTCTGCTGTGTATATTATTAGGCTGGAAGATTTCATAAATCTTAGGAATATGACGACGAGTTGGTTCATATCGTGTCACGTGCGCGATGCAAATATCTATAGTTACGCTTTCTAAGATCCGCGAAGTTTTGCATATCACGCGATTTGATTGAAACTTGAAAATTATTTCGAAGATGGAGTTTCATAAGTTCGCGGAAATTTGGGGCGTTTAGTAATACTGTACAGTATAAGGCAGCAGTTTACATTTCAGTTACATCTGCTTTTTTTTTCAACAATCGGAACAATTTAACAGCCGCCAATGAGACAATCTTTGCATCATGAAAACACGTACATTCGTCTGCTCATGAGAAGAATCTCTTGATTTTAAATGACGTCAGTGCTTTTCTTTATCTCAAGCAGAAATCAGACTTTTTCCCGATTTAAAAAAACTAGAAAATGAAAGTTATACACAGCAATGATGACATTTGGATGAGCTATAGTACGTTTCATTCAAGATATTTTGTTCATCTATGGATCACAGAAGCAGATTTAATACTTTCCAATACATCGTCGGATGCTGCTAACAAATGTAAATGAAACCGTCGCCGTGAAATAATCGAATAAAAGACGCACGTTGATCCTATAGCTATGTTGATCCATTATGTAAATCCAATGCACAAGGAAGCCTAATTGACATATATTCCAGTGTTACTTGAAATAAGCATGAGAGAAAAAGATGATAAATGCATTAGAAAATATTCCGAGGTGCAAGATGTTGGGCTTCACTTGAAAACGTACTTTACCGTCAATTTACCAATGAAAAAAGGATTTTCGTATGATTTAAATCACAAGGAGGAGAAAAACCACGGATTTTAAATGCCAATGTGCTTGAAGCTACCTTTATCACATTTCGTTAGTAATTTTAAAAATATACACACAGATTTTTTCACCTCGCCAATTATATTTTTTTGAAGAAAGTGTCCTGCGCACTTTCCCCCCAAATTGGAATCAAAAAGTGGATTGCTCATCATATGCTTGATTAAAAATTTATCCCGCAACTTTTCCAAAATTCCTGTGTGAATTATCCTTCGATCACATTACAGATGAGAATTTTTCAAAGAAGTGAATTTAATACAATTTAATTCTACATTTTTTCAGCATAAATACTGCATCAATTCAGCTGTAAAATTCTTAAATTTTTAAAAATTTCCCAAGTGCGTGTCCAATTGAGGCTTATTCGGGATAAATTTTTAAGTAACTTATTTGCAGTTCAAAAACGAGTGTGCAAATTTTATGCAAGGGCGAAATAATCTGCGGCCGAATTTTACTTCTGATTTTGTATTAAATCCATGTAATACGCAGTGTACGAATGAAACTGGATCCCATGCATATTTTTTAAATGCTTAGAAAAAAATTCTACCCTCATTAACATGCAAAACCGTACATCTTCCTTGAGCTTCATTGCTGCCACACGTTTTTTTGATAACTTTCAATTTAATTTTAATTTTTTCATCATAATGACACAATATTAGTAGTACTGTAAATAACTTTTGCGTTTATGGATAGAACTACGCCATTATTATTTTTTTCAGATCAATTCATCGAGTAAAAATAATTATTGGAATCAGTTTTCTTCTCTTTATTTTCAATCGTTCAAGCATTATAAAAAATAAACTTCTCTTTTAGAAACCAGACTAAAAAAACTGCACCTTCCACATGTCAAATGTACGATGACGAAAATTCAAGCAATACAGTAATTATTTTTTCGGGAAGAGGTCCTCCATAAGCTCTTATATACACGACCGAGGAAGTTGTCAATGCAATAACAATTTGAATATATAAATACCGAAAATTCACAAAAGCATGTAAAATAGAAGAATCTTTCAGCAGAATTAAAAAAAATTTTCCGTACTCCTCCAATTAAAATAGAGTTCCTTAGAGTCACATCTGAATGAAAACGTTTTGATACATTTTTTTATAAGATTCAACAACAAAATTATGACGAAGTTTAATAAAAATATACATCAACACGGAATGAAAAAAGCCCTTTCGATCTGATCGACACACTGGAAAAATATAATTCGAAAACACGAGATTATATCTTTAAAAAAATGATTTATTTTCATGGAATTTCTTCCAAAAAATATGTGAACAGGGCACACGAAAATTTTTCTATCCCGACCATCAAGAAACTGCGACGGATTCGCTCATTTTTGGGAGGTTGATTTTTCTCAGAACGACCACTTTATTTTCGTGAGAAATCTGATCCACTGAATGGAGGTCATTACTTTTTCTTTGTACACGTGTGTAATTCATTAATCAAGTATCACGTTTCAGGCATCTACTGATTATTATCACACCACCAAAGAAAAACTGGACAATCCTCGATCGTCGCAATCCTTTTGTCTTAGTGGAACTGAGGTTAAAAGTAAACTCCAACGACCCACTCGAAATACAGTGCGTGAAAAAAACTAGATGTCCTTCAATGATGTCAAATGAAGATCAACTGCGTCTGCAATATGGTGTGAATAATCCTATGAATACAAGAAAGAAACTTTCATGACGCATAATACCGTAATCTCCTCGTAAAGAATGAAAAGCACTTTAAAATTTTGAAGTGCAATAATACTGTACAGATGAAATATTTTGAAATTACTGTAGTCTGGTTACAATGAATGAATAAGTCAAAGTCTAATTTTCTAGATAATAATACTGTGGGAATTCAAACACTTATTACGAGATTATTCTTAGCGACAAATGGATTTTCGGTGCTTATTTGCTCATTGATTTCTTCAAAATCGTAAGAATTTATAATTTCCTTGTTTGTGCATTTGAAATCAGAAATTCTTTGTAAACATTGAGCAGCTCATAAAGGATAAAGATATTTTAATAACAAGAAAATCGTGGATTAAATGCATCAAAATTCCTGATACTGCTGGAAGAATTGTAAAAATTCTGGATTTCGAAATTTTGTCATTTTTGTGTGACAAATGTTTGTCTGATTAAAAAAAAGTGGCGTTTGATTGATAATGCTCATTTTGGCGAGAAAGACAGATTTTTGTAGGAATTTATAATGTCTTTTTTATCCAAAATATTCACAGTGAGTATCAATATACTGTAGCCCAGTGTTCCCCAACCTCTTTGGGTTCACAGACAGGCAAATTTTAATAAAATACCTTGGGGACCAGCATATATTCATAAAATTTTCTGCTGACTGGCAACGTTCCATTCAATTTTTGATGACCAACAGAACATTTTAAAATACCTGCCATACAGTCCCCAGAACAAAACTTTTATGGCAAAAATTACGCCAAGAACCTGTCAAGCACCTATGGAAATTTGTTTTTAAAATAGGATGCTGGGCTTGAAGAAATGTTTCTCAGGTTAAAAACTGGAATTAATATATTTCAGTAGGTGAAAATAGGTCTGAATTGCTATTAGGAGAAAAACCAACAACTTATTTTTCCATCACATAATAATTTCAACTGCTGTTGTCTCCAAAATGTTGGATTGAAATATGAGACCATTACAACTTTTAATAAATTCATCATGTGGAAGAAATTTTCCTGCAGACTTGCAAAAAGCTTCTGCAGACTGGCACTGGTCCACAGACCACAGGTGGGGGAACACTGCTGTTCAGCCAATAACTAGAATATTCAAGAGAAAAGTTCCATTATGGTTACATAAGTCTGCGCTTTGAATTCAAGCAATTCCTTCAGAAATATACAAGAGGCAAGAGCATTACTTCAAAAAAACAGGAATTCAGTACTGCATTCAAGCTTCCAACTACAAAAATGATGTCACCTGAAAGATAATTCAGTTACATTTCAAAAGTACTGTATCTGCTTTTTGGCTTCAGAGCAGCATTCATGGTCAGAATAAGTGCAGATTTGCTTCATAAATAGAAGAGTAATAAGAATCTTATACCCATTAAAAATGACTGCAGCATGCTTGATCACATTTTAAATTCAATTTCATAATTTATCTGGATTCCTAAAGTTCAGAGCATATTTTGAATCCCTATTCAGAACTTTATTTAGGATGGTTTCAGGATGAAATCCAATAAAATATCCTGCTTTCTTTCAAAGTTAGCTCCAACTGTTTAAGACTGTTCAAACATCGTTCTACTGTAGTTTATCTTTTTAATATCCACAGAAATTGTTTCAGACTTTTTAATCAGAGGTACAGTATTTACAACCAACCCGAACATTTTCTGAAGCAGTGACCATGATTTCAAACAAAACCATTCAGACTACAGTGGCCCGAATTTTAAAAACACAATAAAGTATTTTAAGATCATCCCTGAACAACATTTCACAAGGTTCTTCGTTATTCAGAGCAGAATCCCCATCATGGATAAATTCGTAGCTGATGACACTATAAAATTTTGCTAAAGACAATCGAAATGCGTCCAAAATTTTAAATGATTACTCTGCTATAAATCTACATTTTTAAAAGAATTAAAATGGCTTTTCAAAAGTCCTTGGAAAAGCAAAATGTTGAGGGAATACGGATGAGACACTCTTGTCCTTGACGTAGTCAATTCTTTTCACCTTGGTACGAATATCGTCTACTGATGCATGTTTGAAGTTCAATCCTCGTCTCTTTTGTTCCGGAAAAGCTCGGAACTTCGAACGATGGAAACCTTTTGTTATAGGGAAATCACTGCGTAATTATTCTGCGAATTGGAAATATGGAAATTTAACGCTTTGTTCACTCCTTACTTTCCTTTTTCATGCGTTCAGGCTGAACGCAGAAGAATCGTCGATTTGCAAGTGCTTTAAAAAAAAAGAAATTCGGTTTTCTGGAAAGCTAGACTACGCAATTTTTTCTAGCTTTCATTCGTAGAGGAAGCATCTTTTCTTTGTCTGGGGTTCCAAACATACTGGAGCATAATGACAAAAGCCTAGTTTCAAAGATGAATTTATGGACACTATATAAGCAGCAGACTTTTTGTTCACATTAAAAGTAATTTCTATTCATATCAAAATAACTAGAAGTGCCTTTTTTCTTTCTTTGATTGTGCAGTCATTATGATCACAGGAAAAAAGTGCATACCTAATAATTCCAGAGAAAAATCAGTCAAATACTCATAAGTTTTTTTTTTGGTCTGACTGCCAAATATCTGAATCCAGTCCAAAAAAGCACCATCGATATGAGCTTACTGTACTGTACTGAGCTTACATGGGTATGTAAGATGGTATACACAAGTTAGGAAATACTTTCAAAATTTATGTTAATAAATTTATCTTGGAGAAAAATGAGACAAGCATACAAGGAAAGTGTATCTGATTTGTGCTAGTTGGTCAATTTCTACAATATTTTGTCTCCCTACAGGATTCTATTTGTGTGGAGAATTTGTGGAAAATTCAGAAAACAGAAAAGAATTTTCTCTTTTGGTATCTCATTTTTAGATGCAAATATATGTACATAATAGTGAGACCCCCCACATGGAGACACCTTGACATCTGGACAATTCAACCAACAGACACTTATTTTCCTTTTAAAAATGCATAAAAAGGGCCCAAAATGTGGACACTGACTTGACATGCAGGCATTGTGTGCTAAAATTGGAAATAAGTTTCAGGCAAAATTACAAGAAAAAGATATGTCCAACCCTAAGATCTATGTAAGAAAAGTTCTTGGGCATTTATTGAATAATTTTACCATCCATTTAGCTAACTTTAAAAATTACCTCCAGCATAGATGGACTTTTTTCTATATTTTTTTACTTGAATTTTATTTTTATGGAGAAAATCAACATCTGAATGTACTGTACAGAGGTACAGTGATCAATGCTCCAAATATCCTTATTGAGTTGAAAGATATTGATTGAATCAGTTTTGATTGGCAGACCATTTTTCTATTTTTCCACAGAGTTCTTATGCATATTTCATCCATAAAACACCAATTGAAAATTATATAATGTAAGTCAAAGGTAAAATGAGACTTGACCCAGGGACATTTTGACTTTGGGACACACTTGATGCACCAATTACGTCCGCATCTTAGGGTCTCACTGCATTTCTTCTTTTACAAAAACATTTCTGATATTGAAGAAGCTCAACAAATTTCGGATTTCAAAGTACAGTAATTGAATCATGATCCCCCAAAACAAAATTCATTTTTGATACGTGATCAGCTGAGTTGATCGCAACAAGTGCATTCGACTTAATTGGCTTGAAATGGCCTGACTATTGATATGCCCTGAATTTAATCAATGTCCATGGGTTTTTCCTTTCTTCATCATTCCTTCAATGTCTTGATTTCTCTCGCTTTTCCACAGGAATTCATACTTCAGCATAAACTAATCGTAAATAGGTACTCACAAAGTGTAAATAAAAATGAATCTTCATATGTTGACAACTATCCTAAGCTTCATGGATACTTATTTGCTTATGGACGCGGTGATTCCAGATTTGGACGACCCTCAAGAAATATTACCGGTGAGTATATTTTTACTGTATTGTATTGATTCAAGCTTGCTCGTAACACAGGAGAATTGTTCAAAAATTACTCGTGAATTCCGTCAGTAAAATATCTAAATTTCAAACAGTAGACGACGTGGTCCGCGAGAATGCTTGAAAAATTCTTCAAAAAAGACCTGGGTGCAAAATGATCCAAATTGAAGTACTGTAATATATTTCTATAATGATCATATCACATCATGGCTATAAGAAGAGCCTTTCGGATAATCACTCAAAAATTTTGAAAGTATATCATATGATCTCCCATTAAAAAGTACCTGTTAAATAATAAAGGAAGCTTTTTGTGTGGTTCGAATGGCTTATAGTTAATTGTCACATGAGTTTATTACTGTTATTTTACAGTACTATATTTAATAAATTAAGGTTAGTGATCGTAAAAAAATTGACGCAAGAAACAATCACGAAAAATCATGCATCCGAATACCGACGAAAATCATCAATGTTCTTATTTTATTTTTCAAGTAATGGTTTTCTTCTGTCAATGAACTCACATCATTCGGTATTAAAAGAGTTCATTATAACTGTTCCAACAGTTGCCTTTGAAACCGGTTTATCGGTACAAAAAAAAAAAAGAACTTGACACTAATCGTAGAACTATGGAGACTGGACGAGTCATAAGTTGACATAGATTAATATCAAAGGTCACGGTTTTTTTTTTAAATAAATATCCAAGATACTAACTGGAACTCAAAATAACCTGAGTTTCTGAGTTGACATGAAGATAACTCTTCGTCTCGACTCGAATGTTTTATATCCTACGTGACCGGAAAGTATTGACAAATACAAGAAAAATCGATTACACACGAATCACGTTTATCACCTATTTTTCAAGCTCAGCTTTTGACGTGTTGAGGATGTTCTTGAAATAAAAACCGCACTTTTACGAGCTGAACGAGTTCCATCAGACTTTCAGAGATAAAGGTTCACGTGCGATTATTTTTTTTTATGAGCGACGGGTAAAAAGGTTTCGAAAAATGTATGGCTTCAAAAACAAAACGTTTCCTCGTGCCTGTTTTCCTTTTTTCTGAACATTTGCTTCTCTTTGTATTTACGAAGAAATTCCTGAATTCCCTTCGAAGAATACAGTATACTCAAAAATCTATGCAATTTTTAAATACAATTCTGTATTTGATTCAATTAAAATTTTGGTGTACTTCAATTAAAGTATTGGTTACTTTTTGCATCCTGAAAGCCACGTGTTACTGCCAGAAGAATTGCTAGTTCGGCGGCGATGAATTCGTTGATGTAAATTCGTGTCAAATAGATTAAAAATAAAGTACGTTATATTGATTGTAAAGTTATGCGTCTTGAGCTTCCCTAGCTCGAATTGCTTTGCTTCACGTCAAGCGTTTTTGTCAATTGGTCAAAGACAATCATGGCAATGCAGTATCTCGTTTTTCCCTCAAAAACATCCGATTATATTCAAGCTTAATTTAATAACTCATCAATAATTCAAAATTACGTTTTACTGCCTCTTTGATGGGTTCATTAATGCAAGTTAATAAATGTGTTTTCAACCTTTCAAGAGAGAAATGCCTTTTGTTCAAAATTTAACGAAAAACAAAATACCCTGGAAAAAGCTGAATCAACGCAATAAAATCAAATAATTGGCTTGATTTTCATAGGTAAAATTATAGCGGAACTGCATCATATTTAATTAAATAAGTACTATATGCTATAATTTTTAAAGAAGCACTTTTTGTTCAGTACATTTGGCAAAGCAGGGCTCACTGTTCGTAGAAGAAGAAAAATCAGCCCGACTCCATTTTGAATTTTTTTTTAATGCATCTGGGATAATAAAATTATAGAGAAACATTTAGAATAAAAAATTCTCAATTTTCGAAGCTTTTCTTAATGAATTTTGCAGCTATATCCAACGTGTAAAGACCGATTGTATTGGAACTAAAATATCTGAATATAATCCCGTCATCTGATGTTTTTTTTTCTCGCAGACTTGAAAACATTTTTCAACATTCCAGAAAATGAAATCCAAACGAAGACACGATGAGAACAATCTGTCATGATTCTCAGAAACATTCTCCGTATATAATTCAATCTCACGCATAATTCGCTTAGATTATTCTTGTTCATTATTAGAGCAATAAGTTGCATCAGTGATCCTCTGCGACATGGATTTAATTGATCGGATTAAAATCGAACAAGCAGCAATAATGATCTTATCTCACCCCCCTTTCATAAACCGCATTCATGGGCCTTGTTCACAGCCCGACATGAGATGGACAATGTGGGACGACTCTAGAATAACATCGGAGTTCCAGTCCTTGGTCCACGCAACCGGTTGGAAGGAAGAAAGGAACAGCAAAGCCAAACTCATAACCATTCATTCCCTGTGGTCCAAGGCCTACAACAGACGAATTTTCAAAAGCACAGTGAGTATGAAAAAATAGAAGATGGAAACAAAATTCTTCCAAAAATACATTTGGATGTACCCTAGCTTCAGGAGTTCAGGTACACTTATTGGTTTGGACTGGGGTTGGTTACCACTTTGCAGAATGGGTTTGGACATTTAGAATAATATTTTTCATGACTGTCAGGTTAATTTCCAATTCCAAGTGAAAGGAATAATTTTAATGTTCAGCCATCCGGATTTGCACATGTTCAAGGACTCAACTCCTGACAGACCAGGAGGAGTTGTTCTCTTTGCTGATTTTTTGTTTGTTTGTTGGTATTTCACTGTTTGATATGTACAGTGGAACCTCAAATAATGAATGCCCTACAGCAGTGTTCCCCAAATTTTTTTAGACCCGAACCACATTTCTGATGGTATGAGAAACCATATTTCTATGGGTCAATGATAGGTCAACGGATTTTGTCCTTAGCAGCCTGAACCACTTGGCTGAAAATCATGACAACTTCCTTGACCTTGAAATTAAGAGGCTTGGTGATAATCGCCAAAATTGATTTTGGCAAGCCTCACAATAAAATTAACACATTGTATTTGGATGCAGTGATGACACTCTGCTTCCAAATGTTTTAGACATGTTTTTCACATGATACAGACTACAATGCTGAAATTTCGAACGTAATTCTCCAAGTTTTTCTGAAACCAACGAAAAAGAGTTGCGTTAAAATTTGAACAAAATTTTTTCTTCAATATATAAAACAAGTAAACCAATTGTTATCGTCACATATCTTTCTTTTGTTTGTTTTTCAGCAATGATTTTTAATTGCCATGCATGGTAGATAACTTTTTGTTGCACCTTTCCCCGTGGGAAAATCTCATATGCTCCTTCACTCAAGACAAGCTTTGTCCCAAGGCCAGGCGCCTTTGAATTTCCAGCATCATTAGAATTAGAAGGAAAAATTCAAAATTTTCCTGTTGATGTTCTAAGCATTTGCATTTTTTTCAGATTTTAGCAACTTTTTTTTCAAGACACAACATAATATAAAGGATACCTTTTTGGGTCTAGTCAAAATTTCCCCCTCATTCCATAGCTTGCTGAAAATCTGTCAATAAGGGAGTTTAAGAATTGACATTTTCTTGTTGAGTTGAGCATTAAAGTATGTTTCTCATAGCTGGTAAACACTTGAAAAATTTGGAAGACTCTTTTTCATGCAAAAAATGATAAATGCTACACTTATTGATGGTGTCACTTTTCATATCATGCTGTATCTTGAAAAAAAAGTCTTAAAAACCTTGAAAATAGAAAATGCCTAGAACATCCTGAGAAAATTTTGAAAATTTTAACAACATCAGCAATTTCATTATGTGTTGTTGCGAAAAAATCCTTCAATAAATATTGGCATCATCAAACAACATGCGAACATCATTAATTCCCTGCTTGATTATTCGTAGATTATGTTGAACCATTATTATGAGCCTGATGCAAACCTGTGCAATTTTTATTTACCGGTTGAATTTTAGCATGCATTTTATAATGTTCTGCTGTTTAAGGCTTGACAATCAGAGACACATAAAAATGAAGATGAATAAAACACAGCCTTTCTCAATTTTTTTTTTTTAAGGCGGAATTTCCGAACACAGCAGAAGAGGTGATGAACGCCATCTGGGTGGAAGCAATGCAGTCCACTGCTTGGAATACAAACGTCGGTCGACACAAGTTCTTGACCGTGAGTGTTTGCGTAGTATAGACGAGTAGTCCCTGATGCGGGTTTTATCGCGTGAAACTCATCTTTGGGGAAAGCCTACGTAGTCGCAACAACCTCCCGACTGACACAATAAAGCCGAGATGGTTCCGGTTAGTTCCCCCCCCCCCCCTCACCATCACATCAATAATGAACATAATGAATCATGGAGAGATTAAGGATCTTTCCTCAGCGCTTTGTGTGGGCTCCAAGGATTCCCCTATTCTTCCCAAAGTAACTCTTTCTAGTTCCGGTACAGTGCAGGCATATATACAGTATTTTGAAGCAAGCATTGAGTTTTATCATTGTTTTTAAAAATGAGCTTAGAGTTAATTGCAGTATTTGTACGCTATAGAACATAAATTGTAGCTCCTTTTCTGAAAGCAGTCAACCCCCCACACAACAGATTTTCACACAATAGACTGCCTCTGGAGGCAGTTTTCCCTCCTGTGCAATGGACTAAATCCGCATTGCAGACATCTGTTGGTTTAAAATTAATGATAAAAAGTGAAAAAGTTACTTTTTTTAATGATTGAATTTACATAACAGACATCTCACACAACAGATTAGTCTGCTGCACAGATTAAGTCTGTTTTGCGGGGGTTGGTTGTACTGTATATATAGACACACTGTTATCTAAAGGAAGGTGTATTGTCTATCTAAAGATCATAATTGCTTGCAGCATAATAGCCATTGACTGGAATGTTCATAAGCTGGATTGGATCAATTTCAAGCTTTTGTTCAATGACATTTAAATGGGTTGCCCTCAAAAATGTTTGTAAGCTGGATCCTTGTTTGTAACTCAGGTCAGAAACCATATAAACAATTTGAAGTTGCATGGAAATTATGCTAGAGACATTTGTTACACCTGAGATTCAGCTGTTCAAGAGAAATGCAAGTACTGTAAAAATTTCTGTACAATTTCCTCAAGAGAAATGTACAGTATGTTAAAACTCTCAAAGTTGTCATTCTTAGACTATTATACCTCTTAATCAAAATTTCAAGGCTTTTTGATGAAGGGGATAATCTTCAGCACATTTACTCCTGAAACCCAAGAAGCAAAATGAAAATTATTAGTCCACCCCTGTACAATGGACTTAATTGGTGCAACAGACTAGTCTCTGGTGTGAACAGTCTGCAAATTCAATCATTAAAAAAAATTGAATTTTTCACTTTTTACCATCAATTTTAAACCAACAGAAGTCTGTTATGCAGATTTAGTCCATTGCATGGGAGGGAAAACTGCTTCCAGAGGCGGTCTGTTGTGTAAAAATCCGTTGTGCGGGAGGTCTATTGTGCAGGGGTCAACTGTACAATTTTTGTTTACAAGAAATGAGGTAATGTCTACAGGTATGACATCTATAAATTAAATCAACCATTCAATTGATAAGCCAGAAAACAATTTGCTCGATTTAAATAAATTAAGCCATGTTTGTCGAATCCAAAAACTTTACTTGAGAAATTTTGTGCAGAGTTCCCGAAATGCGATTTGATTTAAAGACTTTCATATGTTACGTATATCCGGTTTTATATTGTGCTTTATAAAAACACGGTATATACTCGCTGGTCAAAAATGATGCATCAGCATTCTGCCACATTTTATCCCTAATGAATAAGATAATCATTTATCGCAATGAATAAAATCCAGAAAAAATTGAAATCATACGTCGAGTATTCGATATTTTTTCACTTGTTCCCTGCATGCAGTATGCCGGAAGGAACAAGATGATGGTATGGCAACAAACCGCTCCGACCCCCGGAAATATTCTCTCCCCGAGGGACTTCACCAACTACTACTTCCGAATTACCTGCGCGGGAAGTGATGCAGAAAATCTCGGAACGAGGACCTGCGAAGATGGCACGCCAAACATGGTTATGTACTCCAACGCCACGGGTCACGTGAACTATCCTGGCGATGAAGACGCCGTCAAGTGAGTCGATTACCTCTGAGTCACAATGGCGAAGGGCTTTTTCACATGAACTTCTGCAAATACAGTATAATAACGTCCTTCAAATCAGTTACTTCTTGACTCCAATAAAGTTTTAATACCCTGCGCGCAACAGCACGAACACAGACGAGAGAAGAGATGTAAAATATCGTACACACGAAGTGACTTCTTCAGAAACTCGACACATACACTGGTTTTCAAGCACTATCTGTTTCTTCAGCAAAAAAGGCCAAGATGCGCGTGATTTCAAGTGCGAAAGGAGCGCAAGAGTCTCAGAGAAAGCCTCATGTCGTATATAACTCTTATTGATACATAACTGCAGATATCTCTTCGATATTTAATATTTTCTGCGAATGATGATGCCAAACCATCCGACCAAGTAAGTTCTTTACAGTTTGAAACCGCGAAGCAACGTATTTTTAATTACGCACAGAAGAGACATAATCAAGTTTTTAACATATATTTTCATGATAAGCCTTCTTGCCACTTGCGTCACGTGAAAGTTCCTCGAAGTACCATAATAATAATAACCGTCCTGAATCAAGCATATAACATAAAGCGGACAAGCACATTAAAATCATGACTGCCTAACCTTCAGGTACTTTGATGACCTCAAACAGTTCGCGATCAAGTGAGTCGATTACCTCTGAGTCACAATGGCGAAGGGCTTTTTCACATGAACTTCTGCAAATACAGTATAATAACGTCCTTCAAATCAGTTACTTCTTGACTCCAATAAAGTTTTAATACCCTGCACGCAACAGCACGAACACAGACGAGAGAAGAGATGTAAAATATCGTACACACGAAGTGACTTCTTCAGAAACTCGACACATATACTGGTTTTCAAGCACCATCTGTTTCTTCAGCAAAAAAGGCCAAGATGCGCGTGATTTCAAGTGCGAAAGGAGCGCAAGAGTCTCAGAGAAAGCCTCATGTCGTATATAACTCTTATTGATACATAACTGCAGAGATCTCTTCGATATTTAATATTTTCTGCGAATGATGATGCCAAACCATCCGACCAAGTAAGTTCTTTACAGTTTGAAACCGCGAAGCAACGTATTTTTAATTACGCACAGAAGAGACACAATCAAGTTTTTAACATATATTTTCATGATAAGCCTTCTTGCCACTTGCGTCACGTGTAAGTTCCTCGAAGTACCATAATAATAATAACCGTCCTGAATCAAGCATATAACATAAAGCGGACATGCACATTAAAATCATGACTGCCTAACCTTCAGGTACTTTGATGACCTCAAACAGTTCGCGATATTGTGTACCATCCAAAGCAACTGTTCTTATAGAGATGCGAACATCGAGGATTACACTGCGCGAAGAGCAACGAGTTATTTGCGTTCCTCTGAAATGACAGCGGCATTGTTACAAAAACTGTTGATGGCTATATATATAATGAACAAACACTTGCGCAGATGACGAACAATAATGGCAAATGAACTAGAATAATTTATGTAAAAATCAGCATGTTAAATTTCGCTTCACACATAATAATTTCCGACAGGAGGCTAAGCCTGAGATTATTTGAGCAGTTCACCCGTCGCAAAAAAAGGTGCGAACCACATGATGAGTTAACCTGCACTCCGAGGAACGATTAATCCTGCTGATTAGACAAAGGGCAGGAAATGCTGAACAGTATCCGTACACGTAGACCCTATAAAAAGGTATCTCAGCACACACCGAAAGCTGATCAACACGGAGATCATGACATACATTTCAGTAAATCGCTTAAGGCCGCGGGATATTCGCATCTTCTTTCATGTGTTTCTCATTTTGATCACCATCAACATTCCGATCCTGGTCTCGATTTTCAGGGCTACTGCAGGAAGTTCTGGATTCATGGTGCGAAGGATTACGCAAGACCCCCCTAAGACAGAATACACGTTTGTGATGAACTCGGAACTCCAACTGCCGTCTCTTGTGCCAGAATCTGTGCTTCGACGTGTAATCGTGGGTTCAATGTTCAAACTGACTCGGGACCTGCAAGATTTTTTGCGGAGCCAATGACTTCGAACAAATCCCGAGACGAATCCTATTTTTCCATAAAGGAACTCATGTCAAAATGTTCTCTTGAGAAAAAAAGAATCGCTGAAATATGTCCACGGGAAGTATGTGAAGACGGCGTGAAAGAAACACCGGAACATGATGAGGAAGAAATTAGTAGACGTTATAATAGGACTTGCATTACATTGCTCAGGGAGGCGGACTCCTTTTCGAAGAAAAAGAAAAGCACGAAAAGGCAAAGAAAGAAAAATTGCTGCGCATACCTACTTCTGACTGCTTCACAATTTTGCTTCATATCTAAGATCATTTTCCATGAAGAAATTTCGGAATCCCGAAATGGTCAACGAACGCGCTCGATCGAATAGTATTCCGCGAGGCACTGCGAACATCTTGAAATATTTTGCCGGTCTGATGATTGAAGTTCGCTGAAAATTCGCATGGCATTGTCAATCAAACTCATGTTCTTGCACCAAAGAGTACTCTGTTCTTAATTACTAATTTTCCTTTCCAAATATGCATTGTACACAATGTTGCCTCAATGCACTTTTCCTTCACGGTTGTTAATCCTGAAATTGATCCCGGACCTGACGCGCCTTTATTTATTCAGTGTAGACAAAAAGTGGAAGTCCAAAGTAATTCAACTGACTTTGTTTTAGAAGTGAATTTTATACATAATTCGGTAGTACAAGAAAAAGTCAGTTTTAGAGTGAATAAAATTGAATCGTCATGTTTCATTTCTGAAAAGCTCATGGTGATGATGGATCCACGGCCAACGTGGAATTCCCCTCCGAACAGTCTGATTCTATTTTGTGCTCAGTCACAGTATCAGTCAAAGTTCGCGTATTTTCCCTGTGAAACTTCCTGTCTGTCAAACTTTCATCGCATGGAAATTTTGGGTTTTTTATTCGATTTTTTTAAAGAACCGCGATATTGATATTTAGGTCAAATACAAAAATTCATCGTCCAGTGGAGCCTACTTTTCTCCGCATTATTGCGTCTTTTGTGAAGGTTTTCCAGCAGGAACTTAATGGAGTCAACTGAGTCACTGGAACTTTCCCACCTCATTGTCTTTCAGCATTGTCACCTTTATGAATGACATGACACAATTCTTGGAATTACGTTGCTGATTCGCGATACGAAAGAGAACCCGGATTTTAATTAAGGATGAGGTAGTGATACAATTAGTATAGTAACATTTATATCAGGTACTATATCTTTAATTCCAAACTCAGGTTGCATGCAAATAATGATACAATAGTTAGATTGAAGGAAATTGCATCTTATTCATGAACCAATTGTAATCTTTATGATGTGATCTTTCAACATAATTTTCACAACAACAACTTTATTTCATTTCTGCTGTAAAAAAAAAAATATATATATTTAATCAGCTTTTATTTGTGCGAAAAACGTGGAAATTTTAAACTTCTCCGCACATGAGGTGCAGAATTACCGCAAATAAGTGCTCGATATGCTCTAATATTGTACCCTGACATTTAAACATTAAAAAAGAAAATTGTGAAAACATAATTTATTATATTCGAGCTATGCTGCGAATTTTTCACAAATCTGCAGCACCTCTTGTTGAAAAAAAAACCAAGCCCGGTCATATTAAAAAAGAATATATACCTTCTGCTTGGCTATATTTTTTAATCAACAAAAATGATGCGTTCTTTAATATTGTGCATAAAATAATGGACCATCAGGTATGAAACGTGTTGAGATATGTCTTTCTTTTCTGTCGAAACACTGGTGCAAAAATATCAGCAATGAATCCATTTCGGGTCTCGTCTGCAAGCAACAGGACACTCTTCCAAGACGACACTTCCGTTGAAACCATAAACGGGTTGTCCAACAAAACTTCCTTGAACAAGTGTCAATTCACGACTAGATTCTCGTTCGGTGGGGAAACCCACGGATTCCGATCCGAATTCCCCTTGGCAAAAATGCGACGCATGGTCCAAGTAGTCATTTGCAACTGAAAACGAAATCGGGAAAAAAACTGCATCAAAAGAAGTGCCTTGAATACTATGGTTGATGAAATAGTAATTAAATGTCTGGGCTATCATCAACCTTACAGTCTGATGATATTATAGAGGTAACAAAAGCGGAACATGCCGAAGGGTTTTTCGATTAAGCAAAAAAAAAATTGAGCTGATAAAATCTCTTATTGTAAAACATGACATCGTACACACTTTTCTTTAAAAATGTAGTACACATTTAATAAAAAGATTTTTTTTCTGAAAGCCATGCATATTCCGAAGATACAGTAATTTTTGGGAGTATAAAAAAGTTTCTCCGTTTTAGTTTGCTGCTGAAAATAATAGTTGAAAGTTTGTTTTCGAACAAAAAGCAATCGGCGACATTCATTCCTATTTCTTGAAAAAATTTTATACTTTTGATTCGATGACACATTTTTAAAAATGAGAAATTCCACAAAAAGTTTTTCAGCAGTCATGTTGTCCAAACAATATTATCTCCTATTTTTAAACTACCGGTATTTTTGTACATTGAACTTGATTTCTCATTTCAAATGAGCACCTTTTAAAAAAAATTAACAATTGAAAATAAAAGAAAGTTGAATCAAGTATTATCTTTAGAATGTTTTAAAATCTATATGCGTTGGAAAAAGGCAGCATCTTATATAATTTTTAGCTGCATAATATCAATGAAAGTACATTTTATTTTGCGCAGTAGTTTTATTTTGCGCAGAAATCCTTTTATATTTATGAATAACTTACATGACAAGCTTCAACACCGACAGAACGTCGAAAATAGTTTTAAAAATACACGAGCATACAAAAAATACATATCACGAACAAATCCAAGTAAAAATCAGGCATGCATATGGAAATTGAAAGGAATATCAAATTGAATATCAAATTGTAAGCAGTTTTCCATTTTTAAGAATCTGTGTTTCCTTGTGTTGATCACAAATTGTTTTTACCATGTTCTTTTACGTCTTTGAAAAAAAAACTATAGCCAGGAAACTCACAAGAACTTGAAGAGATGCTATACCGAGAAAATGATTAGGTCAAGATCATGCCATTCAAATTCTTCATATAAATCCGTAAAATTTTCTAAAAAAAAAAATCCCATATTTATTCAGTGATACGCATTTTCTGCTCTATGTAAATGTAAGGTACTTACTTAAAAAGTGGGGCCATATGATGTTTGCTAAAACAACTTGATCCACTTGGTCATAAGTGTATCCCTGAGAATCTTCCAACATGAAATGAAGCAAACATCTGAGCACCATTTGCAGGAGATCTCTGTTTTTTGTTGCTCGTTTATTGATCCCCCACATTCCAGCTAAAGATTCATTCCATGAAAAAAACTTGATACATTTTCTTCTTCCATTTCGGGTCTCGTCTGCAAGCAACAGGACACTCTTCCAAGACGACACTTCCGTTGAAACCATAAACGGGTTGTCCAACAAAACTTCCTTGAACAAGTGTCAATTCACGACTAGATTCTCGTTCTGTGGGGAAGCCCACGGATTCCGATCCGAATTCCCCTTGGCAAAAATGCGACGCATGGTCCAAGTAGTCATTTGCAACTGAAAACGAAATCGGGAAAAAAATCTGCATCAAAATAAATGCCTTGAATACTATAGTTGATAAAATAGTAATTCAATTCCTGGGCTATCATCAACCTTACAGTCTGATAATATTACTGTAGAGGAAACAAAAAGGAGCATGACGAAGGGTTTTTCGATTAAGCAAAAAAAAATTGAGTTGATAAATTCTCTCGTTGTAAAACGCGATATCGTACACACTTTTCTTTAAAAATGTAGTACACATTTAATAATTTTTTTTCTGAGAGCCATGCATATTCCAAAGATGCAGTCATTTTTAGGAGTATGAAAAGTTTCTCCGTTTTAGTTTGCTGCTGAAAAAAATAGTTGAAAGTTTGTTTTCGAACAAAAAGCAATCGACGACATTTTTTCCTATTCCTTGAAAAAAATTTATACTTTTGATTCGATGACACATTTTTCCATGAGAAATTCCACGAAAAGTTTTTCAGCATTCATGTCGTCCGAACAATATTATCTCCTATTTTTAAACTATTTTTGTACATTGGACTTGATTTCTCATTTCAAATGACCAACTTTTAAAACAAATTAACAAGTTCGAATAATTAAATTAATGAATGTAAGCTTTTCCCAACCTTCCAGACACAGAGAAGTTGGGAAAAGAAACTTGAAGCAAGTACTATCTTTAGAATATTTTTTAAATCTATCTGAGTTGGAAAAAGGCAGAATCTTTCATAAATTTTTAGCCGCTTAATATAAATCGAAGTGGTTTTATTTTGCGTAGAAACCCTTCTAAATTTATGAATAACTTACATGAGAAGCTTCAACACCGACAGAACATCGAAAATAGTGTAAAAAATACACGAGCATACCAAAAATACATATCACGAAAAAATCCAAGTAAAAATTATGCATGCCTACGGAAATTTAAAGATATCAAATTTTAAGGAGAGTTTTAAATTTTTAGGGCTCTGTGTTTCCTTGTGTTGACCAAAATTTTTTTTACCATGTTCTTTCACGTCTTTTGAAAAAAATTAATATGCAGGAAACTCACAAAAAATTCGAAGAGATACTATACCGAGAAAATGATTCGGTCAAAATCATTCCATTCAAATTTTTCATATAAATCCGTAAAATGTTGTAAAAAAATGCCCATATTTATTCAGTGATACACATTTTGTGCTCAATGTAAATGTAAGGTACTCACTTAAAAAGTGGGGCCATATGATGTTTGCTAAAACAACTTGATCCACTTGGTCATAAGTGTATCCCTGAGAATCTTCCAACATGAAATGAAGCAAACATCTGAGCACCATTTGCAGGAGATCTCTGTTTTTTGTTGCTCGTTTATTGATCCCCCACATTCCAGCTAAAGATTCATTCCATGAAAAAAACTTGATACATTTTCTTCGCATTAATCCGTCCTCTGTGAAAAACTTAATTTCCTTCAAATTTTTGTCTCAAGGTCTATCTGAAATTTTGTGTCGTTCCCCTTATAAATCTTTTTTGGCTATTCGTTTGGTTGGAAAATGAACTCGGTCAAAATTTTTGATTGTGGCTTGATGTCTCTCCAAATTAGGCAGAAATTGGAAAACACTACTAATGGCAGTGGATGAATGATTTGCCTTCGAAAAATTTGCGATAATATTCAAGCTGCAAAATCATCTAAGAAACGTTTATTGAGGCCACAAATATGGAGAGACGATCAAAATTACCTACTCGTACTTCGGGAACCGAAATGTTTCTCGAATTCTCTGATGATGTTAGTGTACCTTTTTGAAATTATTCCAAGGATACCCAATCTGTAGACAGATTTCAAAATTTTAAAAATAAAATGCCACAGGTTCGTTTTTCTTGATTTTCGACAGTTTTTAACATCAGGAAGGAAAAATATACTGTAGTTGTTACGAAAAAATATGCCAAGACGGAAGCGTACGAAAATCGGCAATTTTTAGCGATGGTTTCTTTTTTTTTTTAAATGCATTATTGGTTGAACGATGACAGGAATGTGATTATACCCAAGATCGGAACATTGTGCATTTTGTGATCCCTCATAGTATGCAATGTTTTGTCAGATTTGAGCCATTCGATCACAGCAGCGATTTCCCGATCGGAAATCCTGCTGTCGAGATCTCGGCTCAACATCACGTCGACGTTGCTGTCTGCAATCGGCAGAAATCTCCACAGTCTTTGAAAGGAATCTATGTTCCAAAAAAAATTCAAGTATTCGAAGTTTCTATATATCAGTTACATCGTGACGATGTCAAAAAAGAAAAAAAAAACTAACCCGTGAAACTGTAGGTCATGCGCTGAAAATTCTCGACGAAGCAGAGGCTCAACATTGCATTTCTTTGGCGAATTTTGCACAGAGTTTTGCAGGCCGACGAGTTGGATTTGACGTCATGATACAGCCACATTTGCCAGTTTTTCA